TGGGAGGATTGATAAAGGCGACTCGCATGCCGTGCAGCCATGTGTTCCATGAACGATGCATTGTTAGATGGTTGAAGAGGAGCAATGATTGTCCTCTTTGCCGTTTCCAGTTGCCCACTGATATCTAACCTAGGCCGATCATCTATTATTATTAAGTTAATTTAAGGTCGGTTCTTCACTTTCTCTGCATTTTCAATCATGTTTGTATATATATATATATATATATATATATATATATATATATATATATATATATATATATATATATATATATGATTCATTTCTTTCTTCAATTCTCAAGGGAACGAACGAGTTGCCCTGACCTTTTGTAATACCATTCATTAATTTTCTTCAACACAAATTTACATTATTTGTTATTAATCTATTCCTCTCTCAATATCCATTAATCCCACAAACATTCTTGTTGGTTTTTATTTGAATGCACGTAAGTGCAGCCCTTGTGCGACTCTGGATCTACAATATAAAATTTGGTCTTTTGAAGAATTTTTTAGTGCGGGCCTGTCTTAGGGACTCAAAGATCTCAAGATTAGTACTCTTCTCGTGACTAGGCCTCTAGCATCCTTCTTCAAAAGGATCCCATCCATTCTAGGGTTGCTCATTAGAAGTTTAATTTTATTAATTATTGACATTTTTTTAATATTTTAATTATTTGACAAATTAATAGAAAAAAATCGATTGTTAGATTAGAAAAATCTAAAGACAATTAAACTTTAAGATTGGCAATTTAATATGGTATGGAGCTTATATATTAAATGCGCAAATATAAAAAAAATAACAATCATTAAAATCCAATTTAGTTTAATTTAAAACCAAATTTGGAAAGTTTTGTTACTATTTCTTAATATTATGATCCAATTTAAATATCTCAATTGTTCTGTATATAGTATGGATATATAGGTATACTACATTATTCATATTTATATTTAAGGGTTTCACGTCATGAGATCGATATTTTTATTGTAATTAAAATTTTAACAATTATGTTTTATTTTTTACTATATTCATCAGTAGAAATAATTACAATTTTTATCGTAATCTTTATCTCAAAAAAATCCTCATTAAAATTAAGTTATTGAGATTAATTTGTATAATTAGGAATATTAAATAGTTGACTATAGTGAAAATTAATAATTAATAGTGTAACTACAAAAAAAAAAAAAAAAAAAAAAAAAGTTATTCTATCCAACGGATCAGGTCCATAGGGCCTCGATTCACGAAGCCCAACAAAGTCGGTTTGGAGATTACGAATAAAATATTAGTGTTAAGGGTCCAGCCATGGCATAACAATTGGAAAGTATGTTAGTCTACTACATTGGCCCATATTTTAAGCTCAATATTCTAGAATTCGGGGTCCAATAATTAAAAAAAAAAAATACAATTTCGATGATCGTACCAAACATTTTAAATGATTGTTCTAAGTGATATTACGTCATTTTCCTGGTGGCAACCGCAGGTGGGAGCGGCGGGACTCGGGAGTGCCTTCTTCTCCGCTGGCCATGAACGCACGGCAGCCGTCCAGAACGTGCACTGCACGTCGATGGTGGCCGCGTATATCTAACGATGGTTGTCACTCCAGAAGTTCCATCCTCTTCGCATATCCGACCTTTCCACCACTCTTGTCCTCTTCTGCTCTTCATGGCTCTTCAGCTCAAGTTATCAGCAAAGCTAAACTTTAACTTCTCCGCTGGCCTGGAAGATCTGATCGACACATATTTATACTACTTCTCGTTGCTAAAACCGGCGAGTTTCTGTGAAACTTTCGGGGATAACTGTAACGATGCCTTGAAAAAACCAGCTAAGCAAGACACAATATAATGTCTATCTTGCATAGTTGCATGCATGATATAATCTTCATATTGAATACGTCATCATGAGAAAAGTAAGGGTTTTGCTGATGATGTTTGTCTAATTGTCTCACTCCTACGTTGTTGTATTTTAGTTTTAGGGGTTGGGGGCATTTTTAACGTACAAATACGGTGTGAAACTTAGGAGGTAATTTAACATTCAAAATCCAAGTACAAAGCAAAGACACGGGAAATGCACGGTAAGTACACGCAACATGCACGGAAGGATTACAAGGGCACCGGTGAATGAAGTTGAAGCGGCAGGGTGCCATCTTCTCTACTGGCCATGAACTCGTGCACGCTAGTGGTGGCGGCGTAGTTTCTTTGACATTCGGCGTATCTGACGATGGCTGTCAGCCCAGAAGTTCCGCCGGCGGTGTTTCTCACTAGTTCTCGTTGCTAAAACCAGCGAGTTTCCGTGATGCTTTTCCGTATGATAATGGCGTGAAGAAATGAGGTAAGCAATTAAGACACAAATGTCTATCTTGAATTGCATGCATATTGCATGATGTGATCTTCATGTTGAATACGTTGTCATGAAAAGGGTAATTGTAAGTTTTGCATGCTAAATGATAGATGTTTGTCTAAGCCAATTGTCTTCCTTCCTACGTTGTTGTCTCTCGCTATAGGCTGAATCAAATGAATTGTCTAATAAAAGTAAATTGCTTGGCTTCCATTCTTGCTTATTTCCAGCGGTTACAAAGGTTGCTTATTTAATTAATTTCCAATGGATAGGGATAGACAAGAGTCAATATACCATTACTTATAAAATTATTACATACTTTTTAATATCGTTACATCCTCACATCCATACAGTGATTTTAGTCTAGAAAATAATTTTCAATATAAAATACATAGGAAAGGCTATTATGGAAATTTGAACCCAATATGTAGCATTTCATACTATATATACCAAATATGGGAACGACAAATATAGAAATTATTTACTCCATGTCGCACAAATCCATTATAAATTCATCTTCATCATCATCCATTCCACCACTCATACCCTCACTCATAACTTGTTTTCGATCATTTCATCGATCAATTCGCCATGGATTCACTTTCCAATTCAGTCCTTTTCAAGCACGAATGCAATGTGTCTGTCCGGCACAACATCTGCACAGCAGTTGCCCAGAATATGCACGCCAGTGGTGGCCGCGTAGTTTCTTTGACACTCGGAGTACTTGACGATGGTTGTCACCCCAAAAGTTCACCGGCAGTGTTCATCCTTGTTCTATCCGTCATTTCCACCACTCTTGTCCTATTCATGGCTCTTCAGCTCAAATTATCAGCAAAGCTAAACTGTAACTTCTTCGGTGGCCTTGAAGATCAGATTGAAAGATAGCTAGCTTGCAAATTAAAGACTACCTAGCTAACACATATTTATACTAGGTCTCGTTGCTAAAACCGACGAGTTTCCGTGAAGCGTTTCAGGATAACCGTAACTTTTAACGTATGATAATGGAGTGAAAAAAAGAGGTAAGCAAGACAGAAATGGGTCATAAGACATTTATTTTGCTAGGTTAATAAAGTTCTTATTTTGCTAAAAAGAAAATATAATAAAATTTTTATATTAGTAATAGGCACGGATATTGCACATGTTTTGCACATGAAAATAGCCAACCCATCAAAGATCATTTTATGTGTATAAAGTTCAAGCAATTCATATACAATATTTAAGTAGATCGAGACTCGGAAACAATGACTTGTCGATAGAAATTTCGGTGGCAACCGCAAGCAGCGCAAGTGAGGGCGACGAGAGTCCCTTCTTCCCTGCTCGCCATGAACTCACGGCAGCCGCGCCGTCGAGGACTCGCGGCAACTATAGTTATCTTATATAACTTGAACTAAACACCCCCTTGGTATATTAAAAATGTATCTTTCCACGGAATAATGATTGAAGTGTAAAGGGGTTGGCCAGGGCATAAATGTATAATTTATGCAGGCTTCTTTAATTTGTTTGGTTTGGGCTAAATTCATGGTACCCTTTTGGTTTCAAAAGCCCAAATCTAAATCAAGACAAGGCCAGCCCAATAGGCTCAAAATTACAACTAGCCCATCAATACTTTAACTTCAAGTGAACATTAAGTTCGTTCGCATCACAAATAAACAAGATATTAGTGTCGTTCAATTTGATTTTGTATAATAATCTTATAACTAAAAACACCCAAGCCAATGCAACTTTCAATCTTGTCAATAATAAGTAAAATTTTCTCTCTAAAGGTCGAATCCCAATCCAATGGTCCACACATCTTGCCCCGATAAAATATTTGGAAGGATATAAATCACGATGACTCACTGGTCGTCGATGCGCACAATTAATCTGCCCAGTTTAGGCGTAATCCCTCTAGTGTTGTTGCCGAGGTTCGCACCTTGATCTATTCTCTAAATAAATAAAATCTTCTCCCAAAATAAATATTCTATAATAAATAAAATCTTATTTATGTAACAAGATATCAGTATCATTCAATAATAAATAATAAATAAAATTTTATTTATGTAACAAGATATCAATATCGTTCAATAATAAATAATAAATAAAATCTTATTTATATAACAAGATATCAGTATCGTTCAATAATAAATATAAATAAATAAATCTTATCTAGCTCCACATACAATCGTTGGCAATTGGAAAAATTATTAATGACAACGTGGATTAGCACAAGGCACTGAGTGTCAGCGGAGCCGCCAGGTTTGATTCATATCCAGCTGTTCTTGTCTAATCCTGCAAACATATTTGGTCAACAAACAACGTTAGCCATTTCAAAATGTTCGCATCATTTTTCTATCCGCATGGACCAAATCGGTTTTGTCCATTGTGACTTCCCAATTTGTTTGCAATATTAAACATCTCCAATCTAAAATACCAAATTCTGCACCAAATTTTACATCAAAACAAACATTTCTAACATATTTTTACACTAATTTTTTTCAACTCCAACTCATTTACACCAAATTTTATTTATACACTAAAATAATTTATATTTTTATAATTTAAAAATTTATTTTTATACTGTTACTATTTTAATATAACATATAGTCGTAATTTAATGTAATTTAATAAATTAAACTTTAATTATGTTTTATGTAATTTAATTTTTAATTAAATTAAATTCAATATTAGTTGCTAATGACCTTGTAGTCTAGCGGCACGAAATGACTTTTCCATATGAAAGGTTATGGATTTGAGCTTCGGTGGAAGATGAATAGTGCAGTGCCAAATATAACCTGCTACGCGATCTTTCCCTCCAAATTAGTGCTTATACAAAAAGGAAAAAAGAAAAATTCTACCCTATATGTAAAAATCTTTTCCTCCAAATTAGTGCTTATACAAGAAGCAAAAAAAGGAGAAAAAATATTCTACCCGATATGTAAAAATATAAAAATTTACAAATATTACTATACTCGAAAGTCATTATATTCTTATCCATAAATGACAAAACTTTATCTGTTTTTCGCTATTTCCAAGATTAAGTGTTATTTTCTTCCAAGTCCATGTGAATACATTATATACAGTCATACAGACATTGAATGTGATATATAGAGATCGAAGGGAGTGCATTGTATTTGCTGATCTGAATTGATGGCTGCATTATATCGATTGTTGTCTTTCTTGGTTTTGGGTGTTTTCTTAACAGGGAGCTTCTGTGATGCAAGTGAACAAGTGGGTATATATGAGATCAAGAGAGGCAGCTTCTCTGTGAAGATCACAAACTATGGAGCAACTGTTATCTCTGTCATCCTCCCTGATAAAAATGGTTTTTCTCCTTAAAATCTTGAGTTTTCCCTGGTAGATCTTATCTTCTTGATTGCTTTAACTGATTTTAGTTTTCTTTAATATAATGTTTGGATAGGAAAATTGGGAGATGTAGTTCTTGGATTCGATTCTGTTGATGACTACAAGGTTAGTTTATGGCTATGGTTGTTAGTTGAATTGTCTCTTAGTGAGGTGTTGGGGACATCATTAAATGAGTGTTTTTTTTTTTGTTTTTTGTTTTTTTGACATGTTTACAGAATGACACAGCCTATTTTGGTGCTATAGTTGGGCGTGTTGCTAACAGGATTGGGGGAGCAAGCTTCAAGCTTAATGGTGTGGAGTACAAATTGCCTGCAAATGATCATGGAAACACTCTCCATGGTTAGTTTTTCAATCTTTTTGAGTGACGAGGGAAACCTGCAGCCACTACTCGAGGGTGTGCACTGGGTAACCCGAGTTTTTCAATCTTATGGCTAAAAGCCTAAGCTGATAGTCCCATCTTATTGCTAAAAACCTAAACTGATAGTCCCTCAAGTGTGTGGGCTTACTATTTATTTATGGGTTTTAAGCAACACGTGGACCATAGCCTCTTGGTTTTGATTCCAAATTGAAGCACGTGCTAATCTCAACTAAAAGTTTAAGCTGATAGTTGAACTGTACATTTATGTTTATATATTATATATGCTCAACAATATTAACATTTGATTTGAATAATGATAACAATGTGATGTTGTCATCTAAATCCAGGGGGTATCAAAGGATTCAGTGATGTGATATGGACTGTGGAAGATTACAAGAAAGACAGCCATCTGACTCTCTCATACAACAGCTATGATGGAGAACAAGGTACGGTATAAGATGCAAACGTGTAGTCTCACTATCAGTTTAAACTTTTAATTTAGACGGAGCAATACTAGGAGGTTCCCGAGTAGTTTATGATTCAGGAATTGATGTTTGAATGTGTGTAGGATTTCCTGGGAATCTGTCTGTTACTGTGACTTACCTGTTCATTGGCAAAAACAAGCTGGGAATAAGAATGAAAGCCAAAGCTCTGAACAAGGCTACACCAGTGAATCTAGCCTCACATACCTACTGGAATCTTGGTGGCCATGACAGTGGTGATATCTTGTCGCATACTATCCAGCTCTTCTGTTCCAAGATCACTCCTGTGGATGAAAAGCTCATCCCCACTGGTGCCATTTCACCGGTGAAAGGGACAGCGTTTGATTTCCTGCAGGCACGGGCTATAGGGAGCGAGTTGAATGAGCTTCCGGGTGGATATGATATAAACTATGTTTTGGACAGCCATGGTTTGAAGCATCTGGGCAAGGCTGCTGTGGTGGTAGACAGCAAGTCGGGTAGAAAAATGGAGCTGTGGACTAACAAGCCTGGTGTTCAGTTTTACACGAGTAATATGTTGACAGATACAAAGGGGAAAGGCGGATATGTTTACAAAAAACACGCTGCATTGTGCTTGGAGACGCAAGGCTTTCCAGATTCTGTGAACTTCCCGAATTTCCCTTCCCAGATTGTGAATCCGGGTGAGACTTATGACCATGTTATGGTTTACCGGTTCACTACTCATGATGCCTCCCACACCGGCTACTGATAGGGATCCAACGCAATATAAAACCTACGCAAGTTAGTTTTTGTCGGGTAATTATGATCTAGGGACAGAGGCAATAGTACTTCATCTAAATTCAGCTTTCTTGGGTCCTTTTGTTAGTGGGAAAGGGTGAAGCAAATTGCTTTGTTGTGTGTATCCAATAAAAGTGTAGGGTCAAGCAATTTGCCATAATAAAAGTCTGTTTCATTACATATGAATATTACTACATAATACATATGAGTTAATGGACATTGGCAAAGTAACACAGAAGAGAAGAGATAACAGTCGAGCTCCCGATGACCCTGGAAGGAAGTAGAAATGTAGGTTTTATTGCTTATGAGTGGCGAGCTCTAGTGGTGCTGTCTTCTTAAAATCGATTTTGTCAACCTTTACCTCACCATCAATCAGTTCGTAAACATACACCACAACTCGTAGGCTATCGATGTCCATGAGAACAAAACTGGGGTTAACATCATAGGTAACACTGCTGTGAGCGCCAGTAGCAGATCCTGGGTTTATAACAACGCCTGCTTCGTGCTTATATGCAGTGAACTGGTGGGTGTGACCAGTGACTAATATGTCTACCTCCAACTGTCTCTGAAGCATGGCCAATGAGTCCAAGTCTCCCCATGGAATAACCTTCAGTTTCATAACAACCAGGAAGAACCGACAATTAAAACTGGGTATAAGGTGATTGATTTTACTCTGGCAGCAAAAGTTTTAAACAGTTTTGGGATTTTCAAGTAAAAATTGGTATTAGGGTAGAAAAGAGTCATGAATCTGACCTGATGACCATGGCACACTCCAACCTTAAACTGGCCAATGGTTAATGTTTTTGTCTCTGGGTAACGTATCTCTTCATCGTATTCTCCCCGTGTAATATGCAGGTCTGCACAAAGAGTTCTCAAGTAGTCCTGAACTTCCTAGATATGATGAATGAAACTTTGTTGATGAGTAATTATCAAAGACTAACAATCAGGAACCTTGAAGGTAAAATAATTTATACGACCAATAGGAATATGCACTGATTCTTAAGAACAAATAAAGAACCAGACTGAGACATCATGTAACTCATTCATCAGGTATGCATTAAATGAATTATACTCTAGAAAGTGAATATCAAACAGAGAAAACATAGTATTCTAAAGAGTCGCAATCCTCTATCTCTATCTTCTCCAATAATCTTAAGTGAATCATCTGATCTTCTCTTCAATAATATCCCTCCATCAATGGCATACTAAGAAAAGGAAAGGCTCCCAATTTGTTATAAAGCTCTGAGTTTATCATGCTTCCATGCATTCTTTTCCTAACCACCAAAATCAGGAAAAATACAATCTTTCCATTATAGCTTAATCTATCATTCATCTTGAAACAGAAACAAGATCAACCATTAAGATTTCAAGCTTCATCAGCGTCTATTATCTTTTCCTCTGCTCTACCAAACAGATATTGCTATTTTACCACACTCTGAGATATGATATTCTTACATAAAGGTTCAGGCTTTTCAGCAATTATATAAAATTGATCCATAAATATCAGTGGTCAACAATGGTAGAATGATATGTTGTACAACAAACCTTCACTTCATTTCCTTTCAACAGAATCATAAAGCCTAATATGGCTCCTACTAATTGGGATTTAAACCTCATTAGCATACTAGGACAATCACTTATCAAAAAATTCCCAATCTTTACATACAAATAAAGTATTAAACAAAACCCAAAGCACAAAAAGATAGAATTAAAAAGGAGCTAACTTTGATACAGAGATTTCCAGTGCAGATGATATGTTGGATCTTGCCAGGAACAAGCATAGACTTGAACTTTGCAGGCAGATCAGGCGCCCTGTGAGGTATATGAAGATCGCCCAATGCCAGTACCAGCACCATCCTCACCTCCTCCTTTCAACGGGTCGGATTCTTATCGATTTTTCTTTCTTTTCGGATTTCAAACAGGACCCAGATTCTGAAATGCCCAAAAGATCAAGTAATCACTCTGTCAGCAATAATCTCAAGAAGCAATTAGATCAAGCTAAACATCTCCATATGCATACATCTTATAGAGTTATATGAATGTTGTTCGAACCTGAGAATCTGTAGAAATCATAGACCCGCCATAACCCCTTCTCTGAATGAGCTATGAATTCCGATTGTCCTCCGCGCTGGAGTGGTTAGTTTACTTGTGAGCTGGTTTTGCTTTGGCGGCGTCGTTTACTTCTTAAAAAGAGCATGCGATTAAAATACTCCAAAATAAAAATATGCCAATGCTCTTACTAAATTTAACCTTTTTAAATAGGAAAATGATATTTTCTACTCCCAAATTATATACTCTCAACTTTTATTCCTATCAAATGTTTAATTTTTATTGAAGGAAGAAAAAGAAATGATAGAAAAATAATGGTCATTCCTTTTTTTTTTTATTAGGCAATCAAAACATGACACGTGGTATGTAATAAAAAAATAAAGTATGAAATGAAAGTCTATATAATATAACTCTTTTAAATAATGTAACCTTACAAGACTTTATTATTACGAGATTAATTGAAATTTATAGCAACCTCACTGGTGTAAGATTTCTGGTGATTTTTTTTTCTGTGCCAAGTAAGAAAGAGGGAAAAGAGAGAAGAAAAATGAGGGGGAAAAACATGGAAAAAAAAATTATGACAATTTTTTTTTAAAGAAAGGTACATTTACGCGCCCCTGCATATCTTGTTCAAATCTTTTCCATTCAATAAGACACAAAATTGTTGATTTTGCAGGAGAAAATTTTGACAAAAAACCCCACCACCCATCAATCCAAAAACCCACCTCCAAAATTTTCTTATGAAAAAAACCTCCAAAAACCCATACTGCGGATGCTTGAACACTCGCGTTCACATTTAGTCCAAAGGCTGCATCAGTTGAAACTTTAGTATTATGAAACTAATCTGAATTTAGAGTAAACCTGTAAAGACTTTAGTATTATAGAACTAATTCGAAGATAATTTAATAAGCACCTGCAAAGACTTTGAGGCACCTTATAATTTTTGAACAAATATATTCCGCAAAATTAAAATTGATATTTTTGAACCACATTCTAACTTTTCATATTATTATATACTCATAATAATAAAACACTTCTACCTCATGTCTTAACCAGCTAACCCAAAACACTATACAACTACATGATTGTCACAACAAAGGTATTATCATTAATGATATCCATTCCAAAAAATGGCATTCTTTTCTTCCTGAGATTTCTCTAGCTCTGGGGGGAAATGGAGGGAATAGTGGTTCTTTCTCTATCCTTACAGCTTGAAAAGGAATGATATACAATATTAATCTTGGGAATGCACAACCAATACCCACACGGGCAGTTCAGTTGGTTTTTAGGCGGTAGATTGTCGGCACGGAATGCACAAACCGTTAGCATTCGTTCACTTATCCCGCTCTGCATCTGCATCTGGACAATCCACAACACGAGAGGTGTGGGAGACCCTCACATGGCCAGGCTTGGCAGACTTCTGAGACGAGCCATTCAGCTGCTGCGATAGGTCGCTTTGTCTGGAGGGATGGCGGTGATGATGATGATGTGCAGACGAATGGTGGGCTATTTGCTTTGGTGCCGATTGGAGCTGTTCCAAGATTCCCAGCACGTAAGCCATGTCGGGTCGCCTTTTGGTCTCAGGACGCGTGCATTGGAATGCAAGATTGGCTGCAAAATAAGCTGCATTTCTGTGGTACTGTCCCTCTAACCGGGTGTCGATGATTCTAGCCACACTGCGCTTCTCGTGCAAATGAGGCTTCACCCAGTCCATCAGCGTTTGGCCTTGGCCGAGAGATTTGTCCATCACCCTTCGACCTGTAAGCAGCTCAAGCAACACGACCCCAAAGCTATATACATCAGATTTGGCAGACAGCCTACCTGTTAAGAAACAAACCACATAACATTAGACGCACCATAACAAACATGACAATATGTAAATAATACCAGCAGACATTTTAGTCATAAGAAGGCAGTAAAGTTGTATAAGAGAAAATCCAGGAAGAAGTGATAGTTTTTCAAAGAGAAAACAAAGAAATCAAGCAGTGACTTTACACATCAAACTCAAATCTTTCGATGTAACCCATAAGCAATGAAGTTTGAACCTGTAGTCATATATTCAGGGCAAGTATATCCTTGCGTTCCCATAACCTGAGTGGATACATGTGAATTATCACCGGTTGGACCAAGCTTGGCCAGGCCAAAGTCTGAAAGCTTTACATTAAATTCCTGCATCAAGAGAATCAGAACGATTAATGGCAAAGCATTAGAAAATTGATGATCATACGGTTGCTAGATCAAAACAATGAATTCATCTATAGTCCAAGAAGAGTTATGTCACAAATTAGAAGAAGAAGAAGAAGAAGATAAATTGTCAAGCATACCGCATCTAGGAGGATGTTTGAAGCTTTAAAGTCACGATATATAACTTGAGGATTAGAATCATGTAAAAAGGAGAGTCCACGAGCAGCACCCACAGCAACCTTCATCCTCGTCTCCCACGTAAAAGGTGATGTTCCTGCATGCCCTGCAAAATAACATAGCTTGGGATCAACAAACCTAACAGGAACTGCATTAAAGGCTACAAAGATCTCCATTGTTCTAGATGTTCATGATATAATCCATTTTCTTTCTATAACATCAATGAATTTCAAACGACAATTGAAGTATGACTACAAAGCTGTAAACTTACTTCTGAACAAATGGTTTTCTAAGGTGCCGCTGGGCATGAACTCATACACTAGTAGCCGATGTTCACCTTCCAAGCAGAATCCAGTAAGTTTGACCAAATTTGGGTGACGAAGCTGGCCAAGGAATTTCACTTCTGACTATAATATGACACTCATCAATATACACGCAAAAAGAAAAAGAGAGAAATATTCGATCTCAACTATAAGGCTAAGCTGATAGTTGGACTACAAATTTATTATTTATGTATAGAATGCTAGACAAAGAGCTCACCAACCACTCTTTATGACCTTGAAAACCTCTAAGTCTTAGTCTCTTTACTGCAACTGGCATTCCTTCTCCAGATTTTGAAGCATTTAAGGTATCCTTATCTAACCATCCCTTGTAAACCTCACCAAAGCCTCCTTCACCAAGAAGATTATAGAAGTTGCTGGTTGCCTCCACAAGTACACTGAGCAGAAAGGACTTTAGGTCTGGAGATGATAATATTTCAATTTCAGACTTTGGAGATTGAACACTCCCCCCTCTGCTCTGTATAGAAGAACACTTTTCTGAGCTGGTTGGAACAGGCAAAGGATGGCATTCATGTTCTCTGTTTTCTGAATTGCAAAAATGTGAGATTGACAACAAATTAAATTAGCCCCAGAGACAGTAAATCATTATATCTGATCGATGATATATACCAGCAATATAATACATCATGCTTGACAAATGAATAAGACAATAGAGACAGACAATGTTGAATGTGAAACAAGAAAAGATGAAAACTTTGAAATGAATATCAAACTTATGATCCATATATACAAGGATTTCATCATTCTAAGGATCACCCAGATTGCATAATCCATGAAATCATAATCAAACAAAAAAAAACACAGAATTTACCACTAGATGTAGTGCGAGTGGGTGTTGAGGTTTCCCTAGAGGTAGAAGCGGGGTAGGGAATGCTTCCAGCTTTTGGGATTTCCTTAATACGCTGTGGCCTTCGGAAGCAATTCCCCATTCCGGGAAATTGCGTCGGAAATCAAAATTGCCCTCAAAATTGCCGGAAGAATTCACGAAAATTGGTTCTTCATGCTCAGCTCCTCCTCCTCCATCTACTGCGTTCATAGAGAAGAAGGAAGGGGGAAACTAAACACAGCATAGAGACGGAGAATTCAGTTTTTGCAGAAAATAAAAACAACAAAAAAGTTTTCATATGAATCAGAGGAGACGAGGGATTACGTGAACGAGACAATTATGGAGGTGCTACGGTGGAGGGAAGTTCTGTCAACTCAGTCATTCTAAATTACTTCCCTACCCTCACTTCCAGGACCCAACATGGGTACACAATTGGGTTTTGTTGTAAATTCCTTCTTTGTTTTCAGTAGTTTGCTGTTAAAATGTTAATCAGTGTTGTTGTCTTTTTGTATTAAATTAAATATAATTATTAGGTAGTATGAAAACATTATTCACATAATACTTGTTTGATGTAAAAGATAACCCATTACCAATGTTCATTTGCAAAATTGTATAAATAATCTACTTACAAATCGTCCAGATTATAATAATATAATGTTCTTTTTTTTAATATATAGAGCAATGAATATGAACTTTTTTACCTTCCCAATAGAGTTATTTAAGTAATTTGAAAATCTTGACATTTGAATATTGAAAATTAGAATTGAATTATTACTATATTCAGAAAAGGAAAATTATTATGTTAACGTAGCCATTAATTTTTCATTTGCAAAACTCAATGTTAATGAAGTAATTTTTGATAGAAACTCCTCCTCTAAATTATTAAAGATTTTAGAACAAAGCATTATATCATAATTTACTTAAGTATGTACAGCTTTTGAGTCGGGTAAAACTCTTGAAATAACATATTCAAGTTCAAGGTAGAAGACAACAATAGATTGAACTAAACTAGTAAGTAATAACAATAATGGTCATTAATCCTGCATATAAGTAATTAATAATTTGTTGGGAAAGAAAATTTTCTTAGGTAAATGGAATATATATTTTAAAGGTAAAAATGTTCATTTAATATATTATGGAGAAATCGTCACTTTTAAAATAATTGATGGGATTAACGTGAATACATGAATAATTCAAAAAAAAAAAAAAAAGATACTATAAACATATAAGTCATAGGAAATTAAAGTGTCATTTCCCTACCATTTTAAAACTAAATCCCGAACTGTCACAATGCCCTTATTTATTACTGATTTAAATATTATAGTCGAGATCGAAGTTAAAGATGCTACAATACCTACTAGTGGTTAAATATATTGTTTTATTAAATACAATACTTAACTAAGCAAAGACTTGAGTAGAGGATATGATATGATTGAACTTTGTAGGCAACAAATTAAAGACGGGGATGGAAACTCTATGAAAATGCTAATAAATTAAAACAAAAATTATACAAATTCATTCATTGCATAAGTAAGCTTCTAATGAGGGCAGCTTGGTTGGTATCAGTAGTAGCCAATAGCTCAGATAAGCGTTCACTCAAATCATCAACTTCTCTATGCAAACTTCTTATGTAGTTACATGTGTCTTGCAACACCCTCGCTGCTGAAACCTGCATTTATAAACAATAATCGTTAGTCAAGTTTTCGGGTGCTATTATTGAGTACGTTCTCTCTTCAATTTATGAAAAAGTCCTTAGTTGTTATTAAAAGTCCTTAATTTGTTTTCATATGGAAGATTGATACATATTGCGTTGACTCGTATGAGAATAACCAACTTAAGTAGTTGTAAAAAAAAAAAACCCTAGTTGCTTCAAAAGGTGGCCAAGTAATTGGAGTATGAGTTTCGTGCTAAAAGGTCATGGGTTCAGTTCTTGCTAACACTCTCTTGATTGAGTCTATCGCACAAGATCTTCTTAGATTATTACACAAAAAACTAAGTTTACATAACAAACTATTATACAAAAATATAGGATTTGCCTAATACACGTGTGAAATATTGAAGAAACCCTAATTAACCCATTAATTAAGGTAGGTAGCTTAATTAGTCCACATACAGGCCAACCTACAGAAACTGAGGAACAAAGAAGCAACATCTATCATAGAATACTATGTATACATACATACCTTGTCTGAGGATGTATTGCGAAGTTCAGGAAGAAGCTGCTGCAACTTGGAAACCAGATCGTTGATTTGGTCGTCGGATATTCTTGAAGCTCCTCCTGTGTTTCTGGATCTTGATCTTCGACTAGACATGATGGATAATGGTTTTTATAATTGAAGAAAGTGAAATGAAATCTAATGGAGATCGATCAGATGAAGCTGCAATATGCATGCAATGAAGGAGAAAGCTTCCTCTTTAAATAGTAGGGAAACCATATACTATCTTCCTTCCTTCCTTCTGGGTTTTAATTAAATAATCTGCAGATTTCATCTCTCTCTGGCTGTGTGTGAGTGTGAGCTTGTCAGGACCTTATCTTATTTTATTGCACCTATATATGTGTTTATAGTAGAAGCCACTAATATACTAATCAAATTAACTTCTTTTTTTTTTTTTTTTTAACGATGAAGAAAAACAAATAGAAACTATATATATGAACTGCAGTCTCAAAACTTGCAAGTTGCAAAGCCCTAAATCAAACAAAAGTAGTATAGTCGGTATAAAAGAGGAATGAATAGGGTTTTGACCAGTCAAATGCATGATGACGATGATGTTCTTTCCCAAAAAGGAAACCCCAACAAGTTGACACGTAAACTCCGCGATAACAAACCAACAAGTAGCCTTGCACCGACCCATTCGCTCCTGCATGCTTCAATCCACGACTGATCATCGTTTAGCTGATTACGAGATTTTTTTTTGCTTCCTTTTTATCACTGTTTTTATATGCTGTCTGTCTGATCTGTGTTTTTTTTTCCTTTTTCTTTTTAAATGTTGCAGTGAGGTCAGTGATGAGCGATTATGGTGGACTGAATCCCATGTTGATGATCTTATCTTTCTCTTCATAATTTACTTATCCAGTGGTTCCGATCTGATTTCAAGTGTTGAATTGGACGAAGACTTAAAGGATTAAGTAGATCAGAACGCTGACTACTACGTAAATATAAAAAATAAAATTATTGTTATAAATTATAAATTTTTTTATAAAATAATAAGTGTTTGATCTTAACCATGAATATTAAAACAAGTAATGCTTTGATATGATAGATTGTTTTGCCTGTTATCATTGGATTCCTACACAAAACAGATTATTATATTCATGGGCGGGTAGAGAATATATATGATCTCGAAAATTGAAATCTTGGTTCCAGTCTGAAGTGGTCATAGAGTTGATCTGAACATTACTAAAACCAATTCTAGTTAGGTTATGCAGTGTAATCTTTCTTCGTAGGTATGTAGTTATATATCTCTTTAAACATATATATACTATCTAGGATGCTATAATTTGTTGTAGTAGTGGACATATTCATTAAATACAATAGATGTATTCATTAGTGATTCTGATTGTGTAGTATAATATATTTTAGGCGGACAAAAATTTGTATACAATGATTTCTCATTAATTCAAGATAAAAATATAATACTTATACTGAAAAAATATATATAAATATGTGGGTGGGTAGCACAGACCTATAGTACAATCCTAAGTTGGCATATTAACGTGGTCTGTCTGTTTTGTTAGTAAATTCAATCTCTGATGATTTCTGATACTTAGTACACCAAAAAAATTAGTAATTTCTAGACATGATTTTGCATTTACACATGCAATGCTTGCAAAGCATCCAATATAATGGTTTGGGTTTTATTAGATTCTACCGTAATTCCAAATGACTTAGGCAGATAATTAGTTTAATAATCATAAAATTCTAAGTTCAACTTTATGTGAGTTATCTATTGATTCTCTCTATTTAAGTCGATTAGTTATGAACAAACTAAATTTTTTGTGATATTTTACCTGTTAAAGTCACATGCCGTTACCATTAAATAACAACTATGAATTTTCTCGTAAATTAAAAATAAAGTGTTTTTATTAGATTCCCTCGACACCAAAATTATTCTCTCTCTCTTTTTTTTTTTTTTTTAAATAAAATTCTGAAAGGTGTTAATAGTATGCGGCTTGCAGTGCTTCGAGCAAGATTGATACATTATCTGATACCTAACCTTCCCCACTCCCTTGGGACGCCAAACAGTAATTTTAAAAATATTTGAATTTATCAAAACAAAATTTCAAGATTTTATATATTAGTCTTGACATTTAAAGTATACACACACATAAATATATATATATATATATATATATATATATATATATATATATACACACACACACACTAGAGAAAATATAAATAATACAATTTTTAATAAGCGTTACTGTTGTTTATATTTGTTATTTATTTATAAACGCGTTGTTTATTACAAATTAATCAAATAAAATTAAGTCAAGTCGTATAATCACTACTGGAAATTATGGAATTTCCGACCACCTGAAAGTGATCTTAAATCAAATTGAAAGCCTTGTTTCGATCACTTTTGGTATTCGGAAAAAACCTTTGTTGCTATTTTCGACCACTTTTTACTTTCGATATGATTTAAGATTACTTTCAGGTGGTCAGAAATTTTATAATTTTCAGTAGTGAATGCACCTTATATAAAAATATTAATGTTTGTTGATTTTTACAGTATAATTTAATTATTTGTTAGTTAATTTAAAGAGAGTTAATAGTTTTATTTCAAATTAGTAAATGAAACATGCAAGATTTAATTTAGAATAGGGATAGACGAAAGTGTCGGAATTAAGATTTAATTTTGTTTTATTATTATTAAAGGAGTGGGATGGATGATAGTATATATTGAATTAATAAAATGCTTCAAAAAAATGAATTAATATAAATGAAGTGCTCGGCGTGCTTCTCGGGGCACGTGACTTTGATCCAATAGACAGCGAGGACTCCAATCAAAGTCACGAGGGAAGACAATTTTGCTTCAATTAAATTATCCTTAAATATTAAAAACCTATGGGCTGTTTGGTTTTTTGAGACTCCAAGAAAGATAAACTAACTTCTAACCATATCCTCACTGCACCATCGTATCCCCAACTTCTTCATCATTCCACCGTCCATTGTGATTATACTGTAAATATAATCACATAGCTAATTAAATCAGTGAATCGAAGCATGATTTTTATATTTAAAGAGTTAATTTAATTATTATTAACACTTTCTTAGGCTTTGCTGGTGTGATTTATCTCTCATTTATGATCTGTAAACTATTACATAAGAATGAGTTTAGTCAGTATATAAATCCTCACATAATAACTGCAAGTTTTCATCATCACCCAATTTATTCGCATAATTATAATTTAATTTCACATTATGTAGGTATACAGTAGTTAATTTCCTGGCGTCATAAGTGTATTAACAGCTAATTTATCCACTATTATCCTAGGCCATTAGATTCATTTTTGAAGTAGTCCTTAACTGTCATTATAAACCACCAACACCGACAAAACAGTAGTTAATTAGTTTTAATCAAATGGTTGTGTGTTTAACAAAAGAAATTAAAGCCAAAAACATTATGGTCAAAGGAAATAAATTATAAAAAGAAATTAAGAAAAGCAGTGCACGTGCAATGGGGCTACAATTAGCATCTATCTTCTCTTATATCCATGCATGGAGGGAATTGATTAATTGAAGACAAAAGAGGTGCAGTAATTTTTGGATGGGAGTGAAAGTAAAATAATAAGCCATGATTAAATGGACAAATCCTTCTTTTGCGGACTGAAAAGATACATAAAAAATATATACCCCATACTTTGAAGTGGTTAATACAAACATCGGAAGAATTGAATCAACTTTTGTTAGCAAAATGCATGTCAAACCGTCCTTTTAATAAGAGTTAAATTATGCTGCATAATTCGATTTGAGTCAATTCAATTTTTTCTTGAGTAAAAATACTTCTGTAGAGATGTATCATGTAGATCGAGTTCAGGGTCAAACACTCCATCAAATTTTGAATAAATTCTTTTTTTTTTTTTGAGTAAGAGTTAAACTATGTGTGCTACATGCATGAATTAAATCAGGATTAGTCTCATATATCATATACTACATGAAAAATAGAGGTAAAATAATATATGCTTGCAAATAGTGAATAATTCAATAGCCTATTAGGTATGTTTATGGTGGCGGGGGTTAAATTGATTTAATGGCAATGGTAATTATATATACATAGAAACATTTGAGATTCTATTATTCTATGTACATAGACATGCAGACCAAGTCAAAGGAGCCTAGCTAGTAGTAATTAATCCATCCTTGTGTGGGTATTAGTGTCTTCCTGTTCATTTTAGGCGTGGTACAAATAATTTAATGAAATTTGGGTTGGAGAATTGTTAGGTGTATGTTAGTGTTTTCAGGATCAAATAGATTACTATGTTAAAAGTTATAATTAGCGGTATTATTAATCTTGGATTAATTTAACATTTCAAATATCAATCCAACAATCTCAACCCCTTTCAGTACCTACCGGTCTTAATTACACAGTATGTTCATGCTTTACTAATTGTTAGGATCAAGTACTTATCACTATGTCAAAAGTTATAGCTAGTATATAGGAAAGACACAATGTTATTTCCTTATATTTGCATAGTTGTGAGACAATCAACAACGACCCTGTTTGGTAAATAGCTGTTAGCTGTTAGCTGATAGTTGTTAGCTATTAGCTGATTGAGCTAATTAGAGGGTATAACTAATTGATAACATTAGTTGATTGTAGAAAGATGTTTAGTAAATTAACTGTTAGCTGATAGCTGTTTGGTATAATTTTTTTTTCTCAAAAGGTTAATTAAAAAAACTGTTTTGAGTAGCTTTTTAAATTTTAGCATTTTGAAGTACACAAAGCTAATGAACCAAATACTTGTATTGATTTTTAAACCAAATCAAACAACTAATAGTGGTCAAATAAACTAAAATTGACCTATAGGCTAACTATTTTACGAAATAGGGCCAACATATTTTAATGGCAAAATGTTATTCTCTACTCTTCAAACCTCTAGCCAACATGTTTGTAATTAATAAGGGACCAAATTAATTTAAATGTAGAGATACCTTCAATTCGGATTTGCTCGCACAATGGCTGCTCAACTAAATATGAACCAGGTTCACTGCTCACTGTGCCACAAGGAACCCCCCTCACTTTGAGAGGTTGCTTCCACACTGTCGCCGGTGAAACTCGATCCCTAGTCATTTTTTCAAAGTTTTACCTCTGTGACCAGTTGAGATGCCCATGCGAGTGCTTCGCACAATTTCATTAAATGATGAGATGAGTTTCCTTATTTGAGAAATATTTTTAATTACGAGTAGCTATTTTCTAGTGATCCCCTCCCATCAATCAAAATAAATAAATAAAAATAAAGGGAGAAGAATTTGTACTAAAATAAAGGGAGAAGAATTTTTAATTACGAGTAGCTTAAAAATTTTAATAGCTACTCGTAATTAAAAATATAGGGAGAAGAAATAAATAAATAAATAATAAGGGATCTTTTTTTTTTTTGAATGAAATAATAAGGGATCTAATTTTTATAAATATATACTGAATTAGCTACAGTAGGGACGTCGAGGATCATATGAGCAAAAGGAATTAAACTTTCAAAATATAAAATAAAACTGTTAATTTAATCAAGCTAATAACAACATGACATCATTGTCTGGAATATAGGATTAACAAAGCTACCACTAAAACAAAATTAGCAACTTGCATTTTGGATCGTTAATAATTTTATGCCTGACACAACAATCATATTGGTTCTTTTAAATCTGGCACAGTCAAATCCTTAATTATCTTATAAACTAAACAAATTATGGATGAATCAAACTTATATGTAGAATAGTTAACTAAATTAGTAACCAAAACAATTAAAGGATGACTTTTTTTGCAAACACATTCTTCGTCGAGTCTGTTTATATAGATTTTCTAATGCTATTTATCTCTCATGTATGACTTGCAGGCTATTACACAAAAATAAAGTTTACTCAATTATACACTCTCAAGTAGTGATTATATATAGTATGTAAATTTCACTGTTATTATATATATATATATATATATATATATATATATATATATATATATATATATATATATATATATATATAGAGAGAGAGAGAGAGGGGGAAGGGATCAGGTGCATTTGTGGCTTCCTGTGCGGTTGTGTGGTGGATTAATGTGCGTGAGGTTTATACTTAATGCGCGTGAGTGTTGTGCTTAATGTGCCTGAGATTTGTACTTAATGTGCGTAATGTTAATATGCGTGAGTTTTGTACTTAATGTGCCTGAGTATTGTGCTTAATATGCGTGATATTTGTGCTTAATGTGCGTGAGTAGTTCAGAATTATATAGATGATGCACGCACGCACCTCAGACGAAGGAAGCAGAACAGAAAACTCACGCACATTAACGCCCAAGCTTCTTGTTACTTCTTCCTTCAATTTGGCCATGGATTCTGGATTATCAGCTACCTTCAGTGCAGTTGAATGTTTATATAGATGACGCACGCACAGCAAAATTTGCATAGCAGCTAAGTGTGGATTTCTGTTGTATTATTCCCATAATTCTTAACCACCATAGCCCGCATCCGCATCCGCATCCGCATCATCATCATCAGGGAGGGGGCAATGGCTACTGGGGATGGGGAAGAAGCTGACATCCATATTTTCTGTTGCATTTTACACATTCACGCACATTAAGTAAAAATCTCAGGCACATTAAGCAAAACACTCATGCGTACAAATCTCACGCACATTAATCAACCGCACGGAAGCATTCAATCGCACAGGAACCTTTCACTATATATATATATATATATATATATATATATATATATATATATATATATATAGACTTGCGTTCAAATGAGGACAAGTATATTATAGAGGACTGTGAGGATTGATGTAGTGTGTGCCATTAGTCTGTATGTCGTGTGCATGGCCGAATATAGTCGTGTGCCACGGTTTATATGTCGCGTGCATACATTTGTTAATTAATAGAGCCTAGGTTCGAAACCTGATGTTTACATTTGTTTACATTATTCTTGTGTGCCATTATGTATTAAATTGTGTGCCTGATAATAATTTGTTGTGTGCCCATTATTTGTCCTCACAGTCCTCTATATATTGTTGTCATCATTTGAACTCAACCCTATATATATATATATATATATATATATATATATATATATATATATATATATATATATAGAAGAGCGCTCATATGCGGCAGGGTCTTACCGTGCGGCAGTGCGGTCAAATTCCAGAATACACCAACAGTGTTAACAATATGCACCAACAGTGTAATAAAAACACACCACAATGAAATGCAATAAAACATCACAAAATACACAACAGACTCAAAAAAATACATCATATAACTCACCACCCCCAATGGTGTATTTCCGAACAGTGTATGTTGTTTTTACTCACACCTAATGGTGTGTGTTTGGTGATGCAGGGCTCTGTTTACTATATATATATATATATATATATATATATATATATATATATAGCATGCAAATGGATGCAGAAGTTTCATGAAGAAATCTCATGTCAGAAAATTGGAAACATTATTAATGACTATATTCTTTCATAGTCCCAATTCGATATTAATCTTAATTAATTAAGCTCAACTTGTCTATTTATTTAAGTTCATAATTTCAGGCGCCTTTTCAAGTTCAAGATGGACATCAAGATCTTGTGCAATTATCTATCTATTTTATGTATATGTTCAAAAAAGTAATATTTGCATGTTAAGACAATTATTATTTATCAACCTTTTCAAATTTGATAATCGTACCAAGATTTGTTTACTTTGATGCAAAGAACACCTTTCCCATTTGAAATGTAAATAGTTCAACATTGATTCTACTATCAAAATGTAACGATGTTGGTCTTTATATAAATATATAAAGAAATAAATTGAAATTAGGCATTCGCTATTAATTAATTTAGTTAAAATTTTAATTTTACAAGAAAGTCCACAGTCGATACCTGAATCTATAATCGGGGCCGTCGGTAAAACCTGTCTTGTGATCTTAGTCGATTAAAGGTCTCAAGAAAGTAAACTAGTATAGATTACTCAGCTCAAACATGACCGGTTCAAATCAAGAACATCAATAAATAGTTCTTATAGGAAGTTAAATTCGTAACATTATTTTACTAAGCTAATCGTTGAACCAACCTTGTATATATTAGAACAAATCATGATTGTTTGATCTGGCCTAACAGGTAACATAGAATAGAATCCTTAATTTTAATCAAGATCATGGAAGCATGACATCATTGTCTGGAATCTAGGATTAACAAACGGTTAGTACTAAAAGCAAAGTAGCAACTTGCATTTTCGTTATTCTTTATGAAAGTGTATTATTAATTAACAAGCGGTTAGCGATCTAATAAGGAACTTGCAAATTGCTTCGAGTAAAGATATTAGCTAGATCTGTAATGATTGAATTTCACCCTAGTGGATCAAAGCCTACTTCCGGATGCACCTATATGGCTGTATGTATATATATATATATATATATATATAGTAGTGTAATATTTATTTACATTAAATTTGCCAAAAACCTTGTAGTCTAGTGACACCAAGTAGTTTTGAGCCTCAGTGCATGCAATATTGACTCTTTGTGCTTTAGTAGGTTAAGAAAATAGTTATGAACAGATACTACATTTATTATAACAATAGTACTCAAAAAATGTATATTAAATTTTATTTTTATAAATGTATATTATATTGAATGAACATTATGATGTATAATACATGTATTTTAGTGTTTATATGTACATTAAAATTTAAACCTAAATTCTCTTACGTTGGTAGTGGGCATAGACATTTGGTGGACTCCATGGTGATGTTTCATGGTAGGAGCCATGTTTTGTACAACGTTAGAATATACAAATAGAACTTGTCAAAGTCAAAGTCTTTGCAGAAAATTAAAGTGTGTAGAGAGAAAAAAGAAGCCAAATTGTGATAGTTTGGCAGAAGAATTATTATCTACCCACTCACTCATTTCTTTCTGGGTAATTGAAGTTTCTTTTTATTGACTTATTGAGTGAGTTATTTGAGTTCCTAGCTCAATAAGTACACAACAGTACAGTTAACATAAGATATAAGCATTAATGTTAATATAATTAGCTATACCTAGCTAATATAAACTGGATGGATAATCAACATACACACCATAATATAACTAAGCATTAATGTTATCATTAGTTATGTATGTATATACGGAGTACTATATAGGCAATATAGGTATGGTGACAAACATAATATATACTAGTGGAGTGGAGTACGTCACCACAAACGCAGCAGAATGCAAAACAGCACCACCAAAAACAAATATTGCGAGCCAAATACAAACACAGTTAAGGCGCTATTCCACCCCGCCAGAAAAGATGCCAACGTTGATTTAATCGTCGGATTCAACGTCTCCGATATCATATTCGCGCGCCTCAGGATCCTTAAGCTGCTGCTCGCGTACCTCGTAGACTTCCGCGAGTACTTCTTCGCGGACCGAAAGCTTTCGATTCCAGTTTCGGTTAGCCAATATTCTAACCAATTCAAGCACGTCAAACTCTCCGTCGTCAGATTCCCCACGCCCGCACCGGGGTCAACGCCCAAGGTCGTCGAGGCGGCGGTGAGTTGACTCAGTGTCTCGTTGAACGCAGTCTCGCAGCTTCTCAGAGTTGAGTTGGTCTCCGGATCGGTGGAGTCGGGGAGAGGGGTGAGTTCAGTGATGGCGTCTATGGCGGAACGGACAGCGAGGGTGAAAATCTGGGTGGGATTGATTTGGGAGGAGGTGCGAAGCGGAGATAAGATGCTATAGCAGTTGGCGTCCGGGTAATAGCTGGAGAGAGAGCAGACGGATCGGATAGCGAGGGCGGGGTTTTTGGCGGGTGATTCGGAGTCGATGTGGTGCTTGAGAACCGCTAGAACGGAGATGATAGCCGCGAGGATGAGGGTGAAACAGAGAACCAAAACGGCGATGAATTGTCGCTTTTTACGGCGAGTTGATGAGGAGGAGGAGGAATTATGGTCGTCGTTGTCGTTGGGAGTGGGCATAGAGATTTTCGTCAACTCCATGATACCTTGGTTTCTGGGTAATAAAGAAATGTTTTTCTTCTGGCTAGAAATGAAAATTTAATACCACTAAAACGAGAGTAGACAAGTATAACTTTGTCAACAAAGACGTCTTAAATCTTAACGGTCAGGGAAAAGAACGTAAAGATTGGAGATGCGGGGTATCGATCCCCGTACCTCTCGCATGCTAAGCGAGCGCTCTACCATTTGAGCTACATCCCCATACGACAATGTTCTCATCGGATAATCTTTTCACAGTGAAACATTACCAGTTACCATTATTTGTATAGAGCCAAAATGATACACCTACTTTAAATACAACAAAGTATACTTGATCCAAAAATACCATTCTTTCCGTGAGATATTCAACAAGAAAAAAAGAAGTGGAAAAAGCTAAGGAGCACAATAGGCAAACTCATTACATTGGTTAAGGTTACAAAAAAACAAAAAAAAACAAAAAACAAAAAACAAAAAAACAAAAAAACAAAAAAACTGTACCTCGCTCGTATCATGATTTACACTTGCATCTTCTCTTCCTAGTGCTACACATTATATACGAAGTTGAATGCATGCTGTCTGCTCAGAACTACAGACTAAGTACTGTCTTAACATAGTCAAATAGAGTTGAACATGGCTCTTGCGTCCCCGGGAGATCGAAAAGGATGGAGAAGCCAAACATTCCCCAACCTTAAAATGCACTGCAAACCTAGGAATACATATAAATATCACCACAATGTAATTGGAAACATGTCTAGATCCAATAAAGTACGTCAATTTCTTTCTGTTTTGTGTAATTGAATGTCAAGTTTCTGTTTTCTTTTAGAATGCACTCAAACTAGTAGTATAAATGCAGTTCTTAAAATGTCCATGTATCTCTGGTCCAGGTGAAATGAATTCAAGATTACTGCCCTCTAAGAATAACAAATTTGTTTCTGTAAAATATTTCAAGCATTTTTTTTTTATTATCAATTTTCTTCTCCTGAATCACAATATTACCAAATATATGCAGAAGCATGAAAAGTGAAAAATACCTGAATTGTGTACCCATTCATATGAAACAAAAGCCAAATATGCCTACTTTGACAATTTACTCCACCAAGGAGAGATGCACGGTGTGTTTAAGGTGTCATCAATGGATGGATCCAAATTTCTGCAGGAGGAAGTATCACGAGGCAATCTTGCAGCCAAGTCCTTCAACTATAGAATAAAAAACAATACATCAATCACAAAAATTTTACTGTTAGTTCTATGGAACACCAGGCACAGTGTGAATACAAGTTAAAGATTAACTTTTCCACTGAGATCTTTTTTGTTGAACCTAACTTGTGATCGAATATACACTCTACACGTGGACTATCGAATGGAATGTTAACATTTTGTGTGTGTCCAAATGATCAATCAAATACCAAAATGAATCCAGAGTGGATACCAGATACAGGCATGAGACTCATATATAGTCTCACATGGGTATGATCAGCATGCTAGGAACCAAAAGCAGATTATGCCAATTTTCGGAAGGTTTTTGATACGCACCCAAAGGAATGGGTAGTTTACTCATGCAATAAAAGGAATGAATGCAAGAATGGAAATTAGGCAAAAAAAAGAAGGAATGAATGCAAGAATGGAAATTAGGCAAAAAAAAGAAGGAATGAATGCAAGAATGGAAATTAGGCAAAAAAGAAAAGAAGGAATGAATGCAAGAATTGTACTCCGTATTTCATAAAGGAGAAAAAATGAGTTTTAAGGCATTCTAGAACCAAAACTTCTAGCACAAGCTCCTTCCCAAGGAAAACTTCAGTCTACAAGTTATAGGTTAATGGTAAATGGCATGAACTAGTGAACACAGAGTACAACCAAATTTTCATTTAAAATCAAATTTACCTAAACTTTTATTTACTTTGACATTATTTAAGAGTATGATAAATCCTGCGAGGATAACTAAGGACCAGAAGACAAATTGAACAGAAAAATCCCACCTGTGTCACCAGACATCTTATTACTTCCTTCGCAGCAATGTTTTTCCTGGTTTCAACTCTGGCTACTTCATGTGACTCCAACAACTGCTTTAGTGTTGTTTTAAGTTCTACTTCTAAGAAATGTGATCTACTGGTGAGAGTTTCCACCTGCAAGGCATACTGCTGTCTCAGGTATGATAAGAATGTTTTGCAATGAACATGCTTCTATTGCTGCAGCTTTTGGAATTAAAAAAATTATGAATTTGAAAGGGGAAGCATGTACTGGAAGGAATATGATGCGAATCCAGTATATCTGGAACCAAATATCTCATTTTTCCTAACTTAGTAACTCTCTATTAGTGTTTCTGCTATTAAAACACAGACAGGTCTATTTAGTCTCTGCAAAAATCTTTTAGCGAACTGCTTTAATACCCTTCATTCTATTTATTCTCTTGATTTAATTGCTTTATAAATGCTTTTAGTTCAATCTTCTTTGAGATCCCGGAGATCATGTTTACCCCTTTTCCATGTAATAAGCAAGCTGCCCTTTTTTTGTTTTTAATCTCATCTTTGCTAAAACTTTCTTGAAAGGTGTAGAGTAGCATTCTCTTTGACAAAGAACTTCTACAGTGACATACGACTTGGTGCCTTAGTCCAAAAATAGTATCTGTCCAGTCTACTAGTTCAACTTGAGCAAAGAACCAATATTTACCATCTTACCCCCTAATCTAATTTGATGTTATTTACCCACTTTACTCCCTTATTTCCATTTTTCGCAGTAGTGTTATAGATTCTATTATGAATAACCTCAATAAGAATATGCCTCCTTTCTACTTCCTGCAACTATGAATAATAGTATGTAATTATAATACAAGCCTACAAGGATATCAGGAAAAAGAAAAAGAAAAAGAAAGCTTTGTCACTTTTTCCAAATCAAGATGTATTACCTGCTCTCTTAAAATTGATAGTTCTTTTGTGAGATCTTCGCTTGTATCCCTTGCATTAGAAAGAACTTGAGGGCTTTCCATCAGAGAAAAATTACATGGAACTGAAAATGAATGAGAATGATTTGGCTTTCTAGATACAGGAGAACCTGATAGAGAACCTGATTGAGAACCTGATAGAGAATGATTTGGTGTTCCAGGAATGAGAAATGGTGTTTTGTCAGAATAATCACGCATAGATGGACATGACTGAGGACTTCCATTAGGGGTATGGCTGAAGCTTGAATCGTGTTTCTGGTTCTTTTTGGAATGCCAAGTTTCAGGCCATTTGAATGAATCAAGTGATAAGAGACGAGACAGAATGCCTTTTGGCTTAGTGTGGACAGACTCTTTCTCCTTTTGCTCACTAAAACTCTTATGTGAAACTAAGGCCTTTGGCGGTAAAGTACTCAATGCAACATCCAAACCCTTGTTCAGTTTAGTAAAGCAATCTTCACACACACGATAAGGTTTATGCAGACTCGGAGCCAAGGAAGCTTTTAGAGATTTCTTGCTTGTGCAAGTACCGCAAAAAACTAGCCCACAATTGTAGCAGTTGTGACACTTACGTCTGAAGTTAAATGGGCGGCGGCAACCAGAACAAATAATAGAATGATCAGCTATTGACACTTCTTTGTGAAGACAAATGGCAGCAGTAAAATTCTTCCCACAAACCACACTCTTTATGCATCTGTCTTTCAGAGCTTCAACACGAGTAGGTGTGCTTCTGTCATAATTTTCTCCATGTCCTAGTTGACCATTTCCACCCTTTCCCCATGTGTAAACCTCAGATTGTGAACTCAATACTGCAACATGAAAAGAACCACATGCTATTTCTTCAATAAAACTGTTTTTAATTTTTCCATGAACACAAGAAGGGAGTTTCCCTGTACTCTCAGGAATCCCAAGTTGTCCATAATCAGAACTTCCCATAGTATATACTTGTCCTGAGGTTGTAAGAGCAACTGTGATGCTATGACCGCATGCAACTTGACAGAAGTTTGTGCCATGTAACATGGTAATACAACATGGTACAAGTCTAGAGGCTTCATCCCCATGTCCAAGCTGACCTTCATTCCCATTTCCCCAAGTAAACAGCCTGCCAGTTGAAGACTGATCAGAATCAGAGTTTTCTAAAGAAGACTCCACAATAGCAGCGGTGTGCCAATATCCACATGAAACTTTCAGTGCTCTTAGTCCTTTAAGAGTTTCAACTTCCCTTGGAATGCTAGTGTTACAATGATCTCCATGCCCTAGTGCACCAAAAGTTCCATCCCCAAACGTAAACAATTGGCCCATGGATGTTACAACAGCTGAATGCCAAGGTCCACAAGAGACCATTAATACCTGTTTATCCTCCAATGGACCTCTTACCTTTTTGGGGGTCCAGTGACTGATTCCAGTGCCATGCCCAAGGAGACAAAAGTTGTAAGTACCCTCACCCCAGGTGTAGAGTTCTCCATCAACAGTTATAGCACAAGTATGGTATTCTCCACAAGCTGCAGATGTAATTTTCAACCCACTAAGAGTGTTAATAAGCTTTGGGTTATAGATATCTGACTCTACTCCATGCCCTAGTTGTCCAAAAGAGCCCTCTCCCCAGCTAAAAGTCTCTCCATGTTTTGTGATTAGAACAGCATGTCTGCTCCCACAGGCAATAATTTGAGCATCAAGTACCAATGCTGATTCCAGAGTCTTTGGCAATAAAGCATCCCTTGTTGCAGACGAAGGAAACTTTCCACCACCCAACAGATCATCACCAGTTCTTTCTCCCCAAATTAGGATGTCTGTATCAAAATTTTCAAGAGATCTTTGACTAGGTGAACTTGCGGCACTGGAGAGACTAACTCGGAATGTATCCACAGAGCTATGCCCATTTTCATAATTTAAGTTCTTAAGCGATCTTGAACCAATGGAATTGGACTTTAAATCTTTCTGGGGAGAACATGGTGCTGCATCATTATACACTAGCATATCAGAGAGGGCTCTTACCAATCTTTTATGAGGGGGACTCTCATATGGATGCAGAACTGATTGCTTTTTCCTTTGATCCTGTTGTGAGGAAAAAAAAATTGTTAGGCAAAGAAATGATGGATTGTTCAAGTTATATGAATAGCACAGCTGGAAACCTCATTGACAACATTGCTGCTGCTGCTGCTTGACAAAATGGAATGAGAACTTTGCTGGGTCAGGGCACTTGAACTGTCAGATAAAGCACTATGGCTACTTTTTTCACAGTTATCCCGAGAAATCAATGTCCTGAGGGCTATAAACCATATTTCTGCCTCATTCTTGTCTTTGCAAATCTATCAAAGGATTCAATCATTAGAAGCATTCATAATTTATGGATGCCAGTTTCAAGTATAGATTTTTCTTTCTTCTCCTTTCATACATGAAGGCATGAAGAGGGAGTCTCATCAGAGAGTTCTTAATATTACCTAGGTAATGTGAGTATGGTAATGCTACATAACCTTATTTGGTACAAGTTATGTGATTACCTTGGTAATCTTATATTATGGAGTACAAAAGCAACTAAGGCTCTCAATTAAAAGTCAGAGCTAGTGGTATAACAATATTATGAGCTGATCACATAGATAGAATACTTGGAAAGGCACAATCATTTGTCCAGATCTACAAAATTCTAACAACTAGTTGGTGCTAGTCAATTTGCTCACCCCCCCCCCCCCCCCCCCCCCCCCCCGCCCGCCCCTGCCCTTCCCAAAAAGAAAATATGGAGTAAAAAAATGTATTATGTTCTTACTCCTTGATGCTTAATGGATGCCAGCCTTTAAGTTTTTGCACATAGTCACTTATTTCAGCCTCAAATCTCTCAGGAACATTTCTCTGATTAGATAAATTCCAATAACTAGTGAATTTTTTGGTTGGCTTCCTCAGTTCACCAAATATGATACATCTCTATTGTCAGTGGAGCATATTAATGAATTCTGTCTTTCTTTCTGGCCAACACTTCTAATATAATTTTCTTTTTGAATAGTTTCTTTGATTTGGGCATTTGAAAACTTTAGCGGCGTTCTTCTACAGTTCTACTTTAGGTTTTCTTAAATACCTAATTCTTCTGTCTTTGCCTTCTTTTTAAGCATCCAAACATCAACTCCGGTACTATTACTTCAACCTAATATGAATCTATACCTCACCTTTGCTCCCTGTGCTTGTAACAACCATTTAAATGTTCATTTTCAACTTGAAAGCCAATAATTAGTAAAAGCACTAGTTGGGAAGTCTTCTCCTCTTATCTGAAAAACCCAAATTCAATAGTATGCTTGTATAAATTTGAAGGGAATTCAACAACACTTCTTCCAGGTTTAAATGAAAATTTTAAAAATAAAAATAAAAAGTGATTGGAAAAGGCATTCTTACCAAATCCAAAGAACGTTTGCCATATATAAGAGAGAATGATTGATATTCTTTATCAGGTCGAGGATAACGCTGAAATGTTGCCTGCAAAGTACATTAAAATTACCATGATATAACTTATGCAACAAGTATACATGATCACTATGCATGAAACTAAAAGATGAAAATCTTACAGTATGCTGCCCGGGAATAATTGTTGAAACATGACTAAGCTGGAGATTTTTCTCCTCTCCATGATACCATATTAGTCTTGTCTCATCCTGGAATTTAGATACATAAACCTGGGGTCTAAGAAGACTTCTGTGATGAAAAAATCAACCCTCAGCCCCCTCCCCCTCTCCCCAAAGTTTAGGAAATGCACAGTTGCATTTAATTCTTATTTAATTTCTGAAGTTGTACAGATCTGATCATAGCTTAGTCCGCAAACAACATAATTTATAAATGAAAAGAAACCATAAAAGAGAGAAAAGCCCCATTTAAGGGTTGGGGGGAGAACAAGAGACAGTAGCAACCACAATCTAAGGAATCAATGATTTATCATAAAGTGCGTACAGTTGAAAGCCGGAAAGGGCAAAACTTCGGTTTTCCTGTACACCCATACTTGAGAAGATATGATCCCCTCTTTATGGCTATTATTGCCTGCAAGTAGCAACAGCAGTTAAGTCATTCAAAACCATCTATAGCCTGAAGATAGCACACAAGTCACTTGAATCAAGATCATGTTTTTTCTGATCCAAAGATGAGAAAAGCAAAAGAGTAAAGTAGTGGGCTTCAAATTAATGAGCTTACACTATTGACTGAGTTGAACTTCCATACCCTCGAGAAATATACATATGAGAAACATATAGTTCTTTCTCATTATGGTACACATAACAACTTTCAGTTTAACTTACTAGGAAAAATGGAAATCATGCAAGTAGCTGGTAGCATTTTAAAAAGACTCCTTACTGATAACTAAAGCATGTCTATTTTTTCTACTTTCATTCCAGAAAGTAGAAACCTCATATAAATGTAGGATATAGATCACATCTCAGAAATTATATTTCCTATAAATGTAGATTGATTAACTAAAAATTGGAGAGCATGAATGGTCAATGATACTTTCATGAAATGAGGCCGTATAGGCAGAAATGCTACTATTGGTAGTGAATCATCTAAAAATACTTTCCTCTTTTATCAAAGTTATTACATTACCTGCTCCACATTCCTGTCTCCAAGACTGTTTCTCTGAGGATTAATCATTCAAGCTGACATATGTGGGTATTGTACAATGCCAACTTTGGATACCGGCAAACCTCTAAATGATAGTGCAAGTGCTACCAAATTTGGTTCATCAGAAACTCTACAAAACCTTATGGATGACAAATAAAGTGAGCTAATAAATCAAATGAGTCCAGATTTTCTTGAATAATAGGAAAAATCACTACATGAGATTACCTTATCAGCCACAGAGAATCTCCGTTTTTGCCTCTTCTTTTTCTTTTCCTGCTTGTTTGAGTAACCAACCATGGACTATCTACTAACACCGCCTTTGTAGAAGCTAAAAACCTTACATTTACAAAAGAGAACAAATCAAATTCACTTCTTCCATCATCCTGGTACAACTAATGCAATAGTTCTTCTGAAAGCTGCTTATCAAAATAAGAACTGCCAAAAGCGTGCAGAAGCCTTGTTTCAATTTTGTAATGAAAGTCTCCACTATGAAAACACATAGGGCATGTTTTCCTTCAAAACCAGCAAGCAATTAATTGCTGCAAATAAACAATTAATTTTGCAGAACTCTCGCATTGGTATAATCAATATTTAACTAGATACAAATCACGTAGATAAAATAAGAGCATTTTCAGCTACTCTCCTACCTCCTTGTTCAAATTTCAACGCATTATAACCACAGACAAGTTAGGACGTCATACGATGCAAGTAAGTTTATATATAATTTCTTAAGAACGAAAACAACTAAGCGATGTTCAACAAATGCATCTCACGAAAAGAAAAACGTAAAATTCCTTGCATTTACCCAAAACGAGCTTAATATGAATAGTAAACATTTACCTCCAAGCTGCAGACAAATTCAATGTTAATCGGCTCCAGAATTGAAGAAAAATTCGAAAAAAATAAAAACAAAAACGCGTTCGGATTACAGAGCTAAAGCAAAGCTTCTTCCGTTTCTACCGATCGTAGAGCTTTTGACGAATGCTCGACGTGTGTCCACCCCCTTCTCTCTCTCTCTCTCTCTCTCCAACTACGTCCACGTATATATATATATATATATATATATATATATATATGGTATGTATGTATGTATATATTTGGATCGACGACACCTGAATCTGTTGCTACGGAGATGGATGTTTTAGTCATTTCGCAACCAACCGATTGTGTTCCCGCCACTTTCTTCCATGTAACTATCTAAGCCAAGGTCCAGCCGGACCCGTTAGTTGTTTTTTTTTTTTTTTTCAGTTTTTCCTTTCGCGGATTTTTTTTTCCTTATTTCTTTTTTCTCTGTTTTCCCCTCTCCAATCTCATTATTTTCTTTTAGTTGTTTTTTTTAAGTAACGAGGGAAACTCACCCCAATTACTCAAGTTATATATTAGGTAAATGTTACTTTTGTGTTATAATTTGTAAGTACGGACTCAACTAAGAAGAAATTAACAAATTGCTTTTAATCAATAGATGCATGATGTTTTTCCTAAAAAAATTTGCATTGTTTCACAGTTAACCAAAATAAATAAACACGTTTTTGTTTTCAAAAGCGTATTATCAGTCCAAATTTAAACAAAACAAATCTTTGAATCAAAATATGAATCAGCCCCGGAAATGGTGACTGAGCATGATTCTCGTATCAATGGAAAGCGGCACAACAAACATGTGACTCTATAAGACTACTTTTTCGGGTCCCGGATGTATTTAGTTTAATTAGTATACAATACCCCTAGGTTGAAATATTAATCTCAGGTTCAGTAGTATCATTTTCTAGTTCAATGTGATGAACATTTAAGAGTTGATCTAAGCCTTTGAAACATGAATCCAAGTAGTTCTTGTGCATACAACTATCAGTAGCATTTCATAATGTGCATACACACATGTTCTTGAGATCGATCCGAGGGAAATATCCTAGTTTGCGACACTTTAAACTGTCGGGGTTACATAGAAACCTTTTTACAACACTAGACTACTATCCCCCACCGAGGAGCAGCAAGGGCATCTGCAGAAGCACTCGTGTATCAATGGCTCAATCTCTGTGATCGTTGTCATAAAACACGTACCTGCTATTCCTGGACTCCGGTTCTCTTTGAGCCTGCAGGGAGACAACATATGTGTGAGCCATTTTAATTTTCAGGTGGCTACTTGGTTTCAAGAGATTCCTTGTTCTTGGTTACGAGATTCATGTCTGAAAAGGAGAAGAATGTTTAAGATACCTTGCGAATCATCTCCTCGAATGCTTGGGATCCATTCTCCGCAATGTACTTCTCTGCTGCAGTTAGAATGTCATCACGTTTACTGAAGACATCCTTCTTCCGTGGCACATACCAGATGTTAATAGCTTCTCGTTTAACTATGTATGGCCTAACAAAATGCTCGTACACATATGCAGCCCCGCTAAAGTAAGGTATGACCAACCAGCATGTTACGATTAGTTTTGCATATGACCAGATCGGGATCCTGGAATACACAGAGAAATCAATTTATTTCTCAATTATTTTCCCATAAAGAGTCGATATATGTAGCATCTAAAGAACAATCCATTTAATGTAACCGCCTCATTGAAAGTTGCATTTACATAACCGCAACATCAATTATGTAACGTAATTTAACTCGTATTTAGACGTTCCCATCAAGTCTTAACAAGTTCCTCACATTCCAATTGTGGCAACACACATTACATATCAAGCTAGATGGCATTCTCGAGAAGATAGAAAGATCTCTCTTCATATTATGCAACACAAATCACAAACTTTCTACAAAGTCTATTTTCGATACTTTGCTAGTTCTTTATCATACCTAATGTGCTACTTATCCATTTGTAAAACTGTTGGGAAGCCATTGAAGTTAACTTACCACTCAATAAGTTTGGCAAATGTGAGCTCGAAAAGTGTAATCATGGAGTACAGAATCCAGTAGGTAAGCCATTGCTGATCATCGACGGGGTTCTTGGTCTCTATAGCCCTGATTGACTCATACCTGCAAACAAATGTAAGGAGAAATAAAGCTACCATATTTACAATTCTTCATATTAAAAATAAGATGTTTTCTTCCATAACCCCATTAAAAATCACATATTAAGCAATAAGATCACAGCAACAATAAACTAGCAGCAAAAAGATTTGACTTTTGAGAATTCACACTTACAGAGGGTAGAGCAGACTAACCACAGGCCTGCATATTCAAAGGAAAATTAAGGTAATTAGTGAAATAAAGAGGAAAACAAACAAGAATCTTTATGGGTCAACTTCCATAACAAAATCTAATTGAAACCAATAAATTACCAAGGAGAGAAAGGAAATTAAAGGGGTAAAAGAGAAGGAGAAAGAAAGATACCCAGCGAGCACATCAAAGTTCTGGAAGATCACTTTGACAAGGTTTCCAATACCTCTAGATCCCATTTCCAAGCTAAGATTTTTCTCTTTCCTTTCTTTATTTGTTTCTCAGCTGCTATTTTCTGTAATGTTGATGGGCTCTCTATTAGGTCTAATATTGATGGGGTTTCCAGGCGTTTCGGACTTCGCAGAATCTCAAGCTCAAAGAAGAGGAAAGTGGTGACAGGTGTGAAAGAAAGAAAGAAAGCGGCTGTGGGGTAGACAGGAGTTGTCTGCTAGCACGAAAATGCTGTCACTCTGGTCAAGGGTTTTGAAGACAAGAATAGAAAACATTTGACTTTGGTCGGATAACATTAAACAGAGGTAAATTATACTTACTCAAATATTTATATGTATTTTTATTTGTAAAAGATAAATTTTTTTGTCCTCAAATCTAAAATCTCCCCACCCTAACCAAACAGAATGATGAAAAGGTAAATTATAATGGCTCAATGACCTTTTAGGTGAGAGATATAAGACGTTTACATATATCTTTTTCAAGTGATTTGACCTAACATATAAATACAACAACAAAAAATGTAAAAGAAACATTACATTAAATACAGAAAAATTATTTTTTTTCAAAAAACAAAAAATCTTGATTTAATATTAAACAGTAACATAATGTAAAAAAATATAATTTTTTTTTTTTAACAAAGAGCAATGCTATTTCAAGATTTTACATTTTCTGGTATACTGATGTCAAGGCCTATAACTCCTACAAAGCCACTGCTGCTGTTGCTAGTTGCTACCACCACCCTGAGTTTCCTTCTCTAGCCGAGGGCGTTTTCCAAGAATCTGAGACGACCATGCATCGGTTGGAGTTGGGTATCGGGCCAAGGGTTTACTCACAGTAGAAGCAGGCAAAGCGGGGGCTGGATATGCCCGAGGTTCAGGACGAAAGGGGTAAACGTACACTGGGTTCATCATGGTTTCTGCAGTCTGAGATGCAGGTTGATTGGCAGGCAAAGAGAAATAATCAGGGGCGATGACCTCTTGCTCGCATCCAGGAGGAGCAAGATTCAGATCGAGATTTGATCCAGTTGTCCTCTCCTTGATCTCCTTGATCTGGCTCACGAGCTTGCTCTGGAGCTCGCTAATTTCTGCCTCGAGAACAGAATTCTCGTCCTCCAGTTCCTTTGTCTCCATGCTCATCTGTACAGAAAGGAAAGTTTAGGACTTGGGACTTGGCAAAGAAGGTCAATCACTACTACATTTGAAGAAGAAGGTATCGTAGAAAGATACATACATATTCAGATTCAGACAACAAAGCTGCATTCTCTTTTTTGAGATGCACGATTTCAGCTAACAAGTCCTTCACACGTCGAACTGTTTCATTCAATATTGTCGCCTTTCCATTTGCTTGTTCAGAAAGCTCTGCAAGTTACAAAGTTGTACTATAGCATTTCGAAAGAGAGTTTCCCAAAATAATTACAGAAGAGAATTTAGAAATTACCTAGAGCATTAGCCAAAGAAAGAAAGAGATCATTCAAATGCTCACGCTTCAGTTTCTCTCTCTCCGCCTTATGAACTCTTTTCGGAACTTTCTCTTGACTCTTCTTGGTAGCATTAGACCTGCACGGCCAGGGTTTTTAATTAGACGATCGACCAGATTAAGTAACTTTACTCCCAACTATAGTAATATGTACATAATAAATATACGCTGGGACCAAGAAGTGATGCTTAGAACATGAAGATACAACAGAAAGGAAGATTTTTGGCAGGCCATTTCCAGGTATTCAAAGAGATGCAAAAGCAATATGTATACTTATATCAGAAATGAAATGCTCTACCTACGACATTTCCAGGACAAGAAGTATTCACAGTACATAAACACGAAACATCTCAATTCCATAAGAGTAAATCATTAAAACTTCAAAAGAACTTCCTTTGCATAAGAAACAAATAGAAGCTACAGGTACAGTGATACAAGTAAAAATTTACGGCTCAAGATCATCCCTAAATAAAGATTCAAATGTAAACTCTACAAAGAAGAAGAATCCTCAATCACTTACCCATTTTGTGGTGTCTCTGAAGGAGTGCTGCCCTTTCCACCCACTGGAGTAGCCTGACCTTCTGAATCCATGTTTGGCGACGTCATCCTCACAAGCTTTACTAATCAGATCCAACTTCTCTGAAATTCTTTTCTCAGAAAGGTCTCTGTAAAGAATTGGATATAAGCAGATTAATCATTTGATCATAGACTTTAAAACATTAACTTACATTTTCAAAAGAAGATTAAAAAACACTAATCATTGGATTATCAAAGAGCAACCCAAGTCAGCAAAACCAAAACTGATAAAATTTTAACAAAAGACTCAATTTTTACAAAAGCGAAATAATTAACGAATGAAAATCAAGAATCAAGGCATTTCATCAAATCTCTCCAACTACCATAGAAAATGAGCCTATCCTCCCTGTACAGAAGTTGCCCTAAACAATCAAGAAAGCAGTATAAAAATCAAAGCTTTAGCTTATCTCACATATGCCTGAAAGCGAATCGAATTGAAAGGTACAGAGAAATGAAACCCCACAAATTTTACGCACCCAAATCCACATGAATTCAGAAAACAACAAAGCTTAATCAGAATTATAATGGAAAAGGGGAGGGGGGGATTATCTTGGGAAACGATTGGAAGAAAAGTATGAATGTATACCTGTAAAGGTTACTCTTTTTCTCTGAAATTGGGTGTTCTGTAACGGTTGTTTGAGTAAGAGCACGAGATTGAGCCCTTTGAGAGTTTGAGGGAGGCGCAAGGCTGAGAGGGGGGTTTAGGAGGTGGGGCGTGTGGCGAGCATCAGCTGGTATGAAGCAACAAAGGGTGACAGCTTGAGCAGTGTGACACGCAAGCGGTGGCGTCTCATCTCGACGCTCCCGCACGCTGTTACCTCGTGCTGTCGACCCGACTCCTAAGGCTACACTGTGGGCGGGTTAGGTTCGGGCCCTATTCGATCATTTTTCACTTTATTTCTTTCAAGTTGATTATGTTTAGGAGTATATTTGATATTTTTTTACTTTATTTCTTCCACGTCAGTAACAAAATTAAAAATAAAAGATAAAATTTGATGAGTCACGAGAAAATAAAGAACGTTAACAACAAAATTAAAAATAAAAGATAAAATTTGATGAGTCACGAGAAAATAAAGGACGTCAACAATAAAATTAAAAATAAAAGATAAAATTTGATGAGTCACGAGGAAATAAAGGACATTAGCAACAAAATTAAAAATACAAAATAAAATTTGATGAGTCACGAGAAAGTAAAGGACAACTTCCTTGTGCTCATTGCATTTTCGAAATATCTTTTTATGATGTGTGAAAAATTTATGATTATGTGGGCTCCGCACATTATCTCTTCCGTTTTCATATCAGATTGTTGCTTACCTAAATGAATTTTCTCCTTTCAAAATTTATAAACTGCATCATAATTTATGATATTTTTTTCAATATATACCTAATACATATATACAACCATATTTTCATGTATTGACATCGTATTTTTTTTAAAAAAAATTACAAATTAAAGTGGAATAAGAGGAAATATTTCCCTTTCAAAAAAAGAGGAAATATTCTCATTAAGAATGCCTTACTTTTGTTTTCAAAAAAAAAAAAAAAAGAAAGAAAAAAAAAGAAAGCCTTACTTTTAATTAATAAGAAATTAATAAATACAATTTAAAGATTATTAAAAGATTTTTAAAGTGATAAATTTACTCATGAATAACTAAGGAACATGAAGATGGTGGGATTTTCATTTCTTTTGGTGGATTCTTGCAAGTTAATGAAACAAAGCCCAGATTTAAAAATTTTCCATATAAAAAAAAAACCAATAAATGTATTAACAATCATTTGATGAGATGGTTAGAATTTGTTAAAGTAATAAAATCATGTTAAAAGTATAATGAGATTAATATCAAATTCTCAAATTAAAGCGAAGATAATAGTCCATTATTTATTGATAATTATTTTTTAATAAAAAATCCAACCATATAACAAAATGAATATCTAAAACATATTATTTCATTTTTATTTATTTATTTATTGTGTAAATCAAATATAATATTATCAACTTTAATTTTTAATTGTTAAGTGGCATAAGGGAAAATATCATGTTGAGGATGTCGGACTTGAGATTAATAAAATATTAATAAATAAAATATTAACAAATATTCATGATTGTACTTCAAATAAAGCCGGAATTTAAGGTTTTTTTTTTTTTAATTACATAAAGAAGACAATAAATGTATTAATCATTTAGTGGGATAGTTAGAATTTATTAGAGTAATTACACTACAAGACAATCTCCATCCATGTAATTTTCTCTCACTTTCAAAATGTCATATAACTAAATTTATAATTATTTACTATTTAGTCTACATTCATGCAATTCTCTATATTCTTTAAAAATGACACACTATCCCATTAACTTATAAAAAATTATTTCTTTTATTAAAATAATAATAATAATAATAATAATAATAATAATAATAATAATAATAATAATAATAAAAATGCCCTCTCTCTCCTCTTTTACTCATAATGACATGGACACTTATTTCCCTCTTCTCATTACCTCCATTTGGAAATTCCTTCATATAAATTTGATAAGTATCATTTAAAAAAAATTACTATTCTTTAGCATGGGTAACATTTAAAATAAATACAAATTTGTTAATTATATTGTATACAATTATTTTAAATAGTCATGATTCTTTACAAGATAGTATTTGCTCTATCTAAGCCCCCACCACTGGAATTTGAACCTATGACCACCAATTTAAAATAGTATTCGAGATGTCATCACACTATATGGTAGTTGATGTTGTTATTATTCTTCTAAAACTTCATTGTCTCATTATATTTGCTATGTATACTATATATTAGTTGGTCAAATTATTTTTTATATTTTGATTTTCTTTAACAATAATTAAATAAATTTACGTATTTGAAGGTCACAAGTGGGTGTATGGAACATGATTTTTGTATTTGAAGATTATGAGTTCAATTATTGCCAATACTCTCTTGGTGAAACTCGTTGCACTTGATTTTTCTAGTGAGATTTACCTCTTCTATGTAGTTTGTAAGCTATTACATTGAAAATAGAATTTATCTAATGCACACTCTCAAATAGTGACTCCAATTTTTTTGTCACTCAAATAATAATAATAATAATAATAATAATAATAATAATAATAATAATAATAATAACAACAACAACAATAACAACAATAATAAATTAATAATAATAAGTTGTATGGTGGCCCAAAATGGTTTAGTCCGATCTATGTAAGGAGTAAAGCCCAAAATTTTCTTCACTCTATTTTATTTTATGTTGATATAGTGACAAGATGCAGTATTTGTTTATATCTAACCCCCACCCCTTCTCAAGAATCTTTTCTTAGAGATTTTATTTATTATGGAATATATCTTACTTAGAACATATATATATATATATATATATATATATATATATATATATATATATATATATATATATATATATATATAATGAGATAATAGAAAAAAAAAAATTGCAAGTGATGAATTTTAATTTATAGCAACTAAACACCTGTTTTAAACAGCTCATCTAATATCTTTATCTAAGCGCAAGCCTCGATCAAGAAAAATCAAGTTAAAAAAAAAAAAATCATTGATTTAATTTTATTATGCTTTCTAAATACATGTGAATTATTGCCTTCCTCAACAAAGTCGGCGTTGGCCATTTGAAAAGGAAATAGACATTCCAATATTCCATCCATTATTGGCCATTGCTTTCCATTACTAAGCTAATTAATGCTAACTTAATTCACACCAAGAGAATTTAATTTCCACCTCAAATAGCAATATATGCTCTCTCAAAGACATTGTTTTGATCAATCTTTAGATTTTTTTTGTTGTTGCATTTAATAAATTATTATAAGATGTGTGATTGAATTGAAGTATGTGATCTTTATTTTGTTTTCAATACATCTTAACAATAAAATATCATATCTTTTGAGAATGAAATAATCGAGCATATTGTAAAGAACTAAAGATATTAACAATAACAAGACGAACGAAAGAACTAATTTTTTTTTTTTTTTGTATATTACAAAAATCACTCTAATTGTTCACTTTCATATTGTCATTATCTATCTATAAACATTAAACATATGAAAACTCTTTATTTTCATTGGTTACACAGTACGTGAATTAGTCGAACATTCATGATTCTCTAACTTTCTCAATCATTTTTAGTCCAAAGAATCAATGTCCTCCCCCATGATCAAAGTTCGATCTTGTGACCATTATATTATTTGGAATAGTAATATAATAGAGATATCATCACACTACATAGTAGTTGACATTTTTTTTAGTCGTAAGCTAGATTATTGAAGTGGAGTTAAACTTAGAATAAGTTATTACCCTAAAAACTAAGGGTGACTGAGTGAGTGAAACATAATTTTCTTATATGAAAGTAAGAGTGGCTTAGTGAACTCTAATATAATTTATTTCTCATGCGTGATTTGCAAGTTATGACTTAGTGTACACACATCCTTCAGGTACACTTAAGAAAGACTTAGAGGGCATCACCAGCCCAAAGAGAATTTCTTGTTCTTTTTAGTGTTGATTTCTTTTTTGAAATTTGTCTCAATTTGAATTGGAAAAACAGAAACCTTATAAACAAAAATTCTGCCGCGCCATTAAGACTATTATTAATTGCACAAAATTCCCTACATTTTTATTTCTCCTGTACTGGAGTTTGTTCTAGTAGGTGTGTAGGTTATATTTATTAATGAATCGAGAGACAGACATGCATATACATTATAATTCATAAATACATCCTTAAAATGTGTGACCTAAAAAATTCTAAGACAATATATATATATATATATATATATATATATATATATATATATATATATATATATATAACATCTCACATCTTTAGAGTTTGACTTTTATCCCATTTGATTGTGCCCTACCCAGCTACCCTTGTACACATCAACCACATGGCTCCTTTTGCCACCTTCAAAATTCTTCATATATCTATGGCCTGCATGTCCTGCCTTCTATTTCAACTTTGCAAATGTGAATGGTGTGGTGACTTTTTTGGAGTCTTCACTCTCACCTCATTGCATTGCAATATTATTATTACTATTATTATTATTATTATTACTCAGTTTTCGGGCATGTCTAGTTCCGAACTTGCAATGAGTCCAATCACAACCCAAATTAGTAGAACTCATCTCCAAATTATCTGTGGTGAGGTCCGAACGCTCACCCAGCTGTTAGAAGAGAGTTTTAAGTGTTGACATTGCAATATTTCATAAATGCATGTATCTCATTCACAATATTTTTATATTAATTATAATATACTTTGTTTTTTAGTTTAGTAAATTCAAAATCTTATAGTACAATTTGTGAGCAGTTAGTAAACGGACTATTAATATACAATTGGAAATATATATAATGAATGGCGTTAAAAGTGTGTACTATGTTTTGGGCATATATGTTGGGTTAGACAATCCAAGCTAGCTAGCTAGCTAGGCAAGAGATGGATATATGGAGCAAATTAAAGTGTTTAAAAGTGGGGGGCAATATAATGAATGGTGTTAGTTTGTTTGGTTAATGCTCACCAGATTTCCAGCCTTAAGGACTGTCCTAAGAAAGTGAAAGATAAATAAATAAATAAATAAATAAAAAGAGACCTATATGTATGTATCCATTATTATTTTGATTAAAGTCACCCATCACTATCTAAATATATATATTTTGGACAGAATACGTCTTGTAATTCTAGCTGTCAAGAACCACAAAGAGGTAAACTAAGAAGGTCAATTGATAGCTTATACAAAAAGTTAAACTTAAAATTCTGTGATTACTATACAAATTATCTGATTAATTTGGTTTAAGTTGTCCCATCTCATTATATATACATCCATTAATAATAATAATAATAATATTATTATTATTATTATTATTATTATTATTATTATTATTATTATTAATATTATGTTATTAGTTGTATATATAGATGGTTACAAATAAAAATGAATATAATGCATGCAGGATGTTGGGTGAGAAAATAGAAGCAAGAAAAATGGGGTTGTGCATGACAGACATGTGGTCTTGTCATGCTAACTGACACGTACTTTCTTTGATTATATATGTATGTATGTTCCAACCAATAATTTTAACGACCTCCTTGGACTACTCTAACTTATATCCTCTAGCTTCCACAGATTCTTCATTCTTATTTCTCCAACACATGCTTCTTCATCACCCTGTCGTCCATCCATCAATGCCTCTATTGCATCCCATTATTATTATTTTATTTATATCATCTCATAATATATGCCATAAGGTAATCCTATTTAATTTGTTGAATCGGTTTTTTTAGTTTAATTTTTTTTTTGAATTTAGTTATTTATTTATTGTGTATGTCTCATAAGCTACTGCGAGAGATAAGTGTGTTGAAGATTTAGTGCATTGAATTGAATCTGGTTTAAATTCTAATTAGGTTCGTGGAGTGGGTGGGGGTGCGGGGGCCTCTGCGGTACAATATATGTATAATAATTTTGTAAATGTACTATTAGTACAATGTTGTATAAAAATTATATGATGCTTAGCTTGTTGTAACATTAAATATTTTATTATCACGTACAATTAATAAAAAATGTCATTCACTCCCATAGACTTAAAGTCTCGGCCGAATTACATAAACTCTTCTTTGTTTTTGTTTTATGTTCTTGACATATTAGTGCTTCGTGGGAGCCGATGCATGCATAACAAGAAATTTGGGCTATTTATTGTCAAAAAAGGATTTAGAATAAGAGCGGTCTATTAAGTGTTCAATATTACCATAGTAAAGGTCTAACCTAAAAAAGGACTACCTTAATACTTGATAATTAAGGTTAAATGGACATATTTATATAGACAAATTTAATCCAAGTGCAAGAGAAATATAATTAATAATGAATAAGAATGAGATCGATTATGAGACAGGCAAGTGACAAGAATAGTTGCAGGCAGGCAAAAGTTAAGGTTCCAGAATGTTGTACACCATCATATCCTGAATTGAAGCAAGTTTGAGTGTGAGTAGGGCCTCCATGGCAGACATGGATGCCTGCAGACAACTTAATAAAAGGGAATTGCATTTTGATGATGGAGTCGATCTCAAGTAAGGCAAAGTGGCAAACCAAAAGTAGCTTTAATTTGTTAATTCCCATTCTATGTACATGTTGGAACATCAACAATCCGCTATGGCCCAACATACACAATCTCAACATATATTAACAAACCGAATATATCTGAATTATGAACCAATCTGTTTTTGGACAAGGTTGGTCACCTTACATCACTTACATGCATGTCTCAAAATTAAACCAATATTGTTTTTTTTTTTATTTAAAAAAATATATTATTGGTTTGAGAAATATAATAATGCTAATGTTCTTTTATGTGTGGAGGTTGTTGTTCCTTTTAGTGACAAAGATATATAATACAAATGCATAATTTTGTTCATACCAAAGAGGCCACCCACTCCTTTGCCATGAAATTTTGTTCACTCAATTTACGCACACTTTAAGAGGTTGCTTCTACTACTGCTGGTGAGACTCACTCATAGTCATTCTTCCTAAATTTCATCCCTATGACCAACTGAGCTGCCCATATCGACAGACTTGTTAACAACATAACAGAACATTAATATTGACATAATTTGTTGATGTGGCTTTACCACATCAACATTTATATAATTTTTAATATTCTTGTACAATAATGATATGAATAAGAAATGGTATTAAATGTGGGGGGATGTAGTCCTTTTCAGTGACAAAGATAATAAAAATGTATAGTTTTGTTTATTGATAAGTCAATAAGTGGTAGTAGTTGAGTGGAAAGCAAACGCAAATTAATTAGACTATGTACATAATTAGTGTTTGCTCCTTTAAGAGGTAAAAAAAATGCTATTTTTACCCTTTATAATTACCCCTTCATGTCATTTTCTTGTCTATTGTAATGACGTGATATCAAAAATTTAGGGATGAGCAATTCGGTTCAATAATTGGAATAAAGAGAAATTTAAAAAATTGGAGTATAATATTACTCAATAAAGATATCATCCCGGATAATTAAATAACTCTAAAAACAGAAATATATAATACAAACTAAATGTTTTTGGTTCAATAATTTTGCAATTGTGACTAATTAACTACTAATAATCTATTTGTGAAGTCCGACAACATTAGGAGTATGGGACTCCGAACGTAGGTTTCTGCTCATCAGGTCATGCATGGAGATGATGATGTGATGAGAAATCGTCCGGCGAATGACAATTATGTATAGACTTTCCTAGCTTTCTCCGGTCGCCGGTGTTGTGCGCAGTTTCGGATATATTCAGGTTGCCGTGGCTGTTGCATCCCAAAAGCCCGGTGAAACGGGGTTTTGTCGGCGGTTTTCCGGTTACATCCTTAAATTTGCCTGTTTTACCGACAATGCTGACAGTGTTTTCGTCGTAGTCCGAGATTACGGAGGAGTGGTCGGCCACGCCCGCCGTGACGACGCTCCACGTGATGCTGGCCTCGCTGGGGGCGTAATGAGTGACCGGGGAGGCGCAGTAGTCGCCGGCCGTCGTCTGGGAAGCTAACATTAAACTGTGTCGGGTGCTGTCGGAGATGTTCTCGATTTCGAACAAATCGGAGCTTGCGTCGCTAGTCATGTCGTCGCAGATTGTGTTGCTGGTTGTTGCAGCCGCCGTCGTGGGAGCATGTAATTGTGGTGAATTGGGAATGGCGTCCCAGGTTAACACCGACAGTTTTCTCTCCAAGTTGACGGCGACATCGCCCTTTCTCGTTTTATGAGCTCCAAACACTTCTAGAGATTTTCTTTGCTCATCTACTGGTTCTTCTTCCATCGGCGGCTTTGTCGTCGCAGGATGTTCTTCTCTTTTTGAGGTATTCCCTGCAGAATGTTTCTGGGAATCTTCCGCCGCCGTCTGTTTTGATCCATGATGATCATCAATCACAACAGCTTTCTTGTCTAGACAGCGGCCCTGACAGCCGAAACGACCAAAAAAGCTCCTCCGAATAACCGCCGCCTTTCTTGGTTTCGGATTATGCAACAAAACGGCCTTGCTACCAAAGCTGCTTGGCTCCGAGGAGACGCCGCTAACGGTGCTGGATTTTGATTCGACGGCTGGGATTTCGTTCTTGTTCTTATTAACCAGCTTCCCCGATCGAATCGGGGCTGTGTAGGCTAAATCCAATTTCTGATCCAGTTTCATGTTGAAGTACTTATCAGCGTCGAAGATGCTGATTTCCCCGTCTTCTTTTCTTGATTTTCCGGCGATCCTTCTTTCAAGATGTTTCGCCGCCGCGGGGTTCATGTGCTGTGGAAATACGAACGAAACTGTAGGATCTTCAACCGGACCGGAGGCAGTAGTCTTGAACGCAAAACCGCTGTTATTATTGTTGTTTTCCGGTGTCCTAAGATAAGAAGAAGAAAATGACTCGCCGGCGCCATGATCGGAAGCAGTACTAACCTTGTGATCTTTACTACGATCCATGGCTGCGGCTTTCGGGATCTTAACGTTCGACGATGGCGGCTTCACTCCTTGGACGACGTTAGCCGACGACGCTCTAGCTCTAACCGGAAACGGAGGAGCGTCCGGCCGCTGGAGATCTTCCGACGATCCTCCGGCAATCCTCTGCACCAAGCTCTCTTCTGGGTTGTTGAGGTAGCAAGAAAATGAAGCCACCCGAAGACTCATATCATCGGCTTCCATGGAGATTATAAATTATAATAACTGGAAATTAAAATGTATACTCTCAAAATCAGTGTTGTTGACGATGAAGAAGCTAGCTAAGCAAGCAAGAATTGGATAGCTATGGGACGAATTGAAGCTCAGCTCTGATTTGATATGTTGTTTGGCTTGTGTAAAACCACACTAGCTATAAGTAGACTTTTCGTGCAAGATTACAAGTAAAGATAGATTTGACACAAAGTTCAACAAGACATTTGGATCTATATATGCAATTGTGGTAAAATATGGGTCAAAAACGCATACATAAATTGACTAGATGAACTACCTAAATGTTTACAATGTTCCAACACCATGTTATATTTTTTGGGTTCCAGCCAGAGATAATTCACTGCTGGAAATCAACTATTTTTCAACCATCAAAAAGTGATCAGAAATCGTCAAAATTTAATCAGAAACTACTGTTCCGACCGCATTATGTATTGGATAAACTATGTTCCTGTATAATAGCAAACAAATTATGTTATATTACTTGATGCAAGGTGAGTTACGTTACATGTGGATTTAGAACATATATAATCACCAAGTAAATTAGATAATTTTTATGGGGTCGGCAGGTTGGAGGCTCAAGCAGGGAGTTGAGGTCTAGTACGTATTCCAATGGTAATAAAGTTAGACAACTATAGACGACGTACGAAGTTCACTATTTATGATATATTAAAATGTATAATTGTTTCAATATGAATAATTTGTAATGTTAACCAGGCCAAGTGATAGCTAGGGATTATTATAACATGAAGAAAGTAAGTGGATCCTACATGTGTTAAGATGGAGAATGAGGATGTTCCAGTGTTGTCATTTCGTTCATAGTTCAAACACGACATTTTGCAGAGGTGAGATCAAAATTCTTTCTTTCGGATTTATTAAGAAACAAAATGTGTACCCCAGAACAAAACTAGCTAGCTAATTATTAGATAATATAAGTCTTAGACAAATCAGCCAAATATATCAAACAAATAACTTGGTAACCCAATGCTCCAAATTTAACTCCATATGAAAATTACCTATTAACTTTCTTAATTTGAATTGTTCAATTATAAACAGGGTAGGCTGATTTAGCTTCGATCTTTTGCCAGTTAAAATTATAAGACGAATTTGAGGGTTTTAATTGAACGCAGACAAACAAATGGCCCTAAAGAGACTAAAGAAACAAACTTTAAGGTGTGCCACTCGTTTGAGTGAGCCCCAAAAACTAGTAGGGACACCTATCCACATCATAATAAATTCATTCTTCAAAGCCCCATTTTTCCAGGCAGGGCTGTGCTGTGAGTAGTTCAATGATTTGGATGGCTTTTACACGGCCTATTCAACCAATAAATTCATAATAAACTATTAAAGGTAAATATTAAAAAAAAAAAGTATTATATTTTAACTTTTACTGGATCATATATCTAAGTCACTTCTGGTAATTTAATCTCAAAATATAAAATACATTCATGCGGTTTGTAGGCTCCAGAAGCTTTATAGGGACATTGTGAGGGAATAAATGTTTATCATTATTAGCTTGAATGATGAATGCATTAATTGCTTTTGTGATACAAAGATTCCCAAAACCCAAAAAATGATTAGATTTAATTTATCCAAAAATAAGATTTTTAATTTCACGTTACAAAAGGTTGAGAATTATAAAGAAATTTTTTTTTTGCTGCAAAACAGTGTATATGCTGCAGATTCTAAAAACTAACCGGTTATATAGAAATATTTTGGTTTTGCTGTAAAAAACAAATGTCAAGATGGCCGAGTTGGTCTAAGGCGCCAGTTTCAGGTACTGGTCCGAAAGGGCATGGGTTCGAATCCCATTCTTGACAATTTTTTTTTTTAATTTTTGTCAACTTCTGGATTACATCTGGGTTTTTTCATTCACTACAAGAAGCAAATGTCAAGATGGCCGAGTTGGTTTAAGGCGCCAGTTTCAGGTATTGGTCCGAAAGGGCATGGGTTCGAATCCCATTCTTGACAAAGATTTTAATGTTTTGGCAACTTCTGGATTACATCTGCCTTCCTTTCCTTCACTGTTCTTCGCCGCCACCTTGCAGCTGTTGAGTGTTGTCCTTAGGCTGAGATCCACTTCCCTTTCAAAGACTATTCTTCATTTCTGCTGCTGTCTAGCTGGGAGCTGTTCTATTCCTTGGTAAGTTACTTTTTCCCCAGATTTTTTCTGCTCATAGATTGGTTCATAGACTGTTTGAGGGAATTCTGACTTTTCATTACTTGTCACTAAGCATTATTCTTGAGCCACCAGATTTGGTGTTATGCCACTTTTGACTTGACTGAAGAAATCCCCTCATGACCATATATACCTTGTTAAACAAGACCCTTGAATTGAATTTTCTTGCTGGATTGAATGGATTGGAGTGCAAGGAAATCTAATAGCTTAGGCTGTTCTGCAGGGTGTATATATATATAAAGTGTAATCATCATTTTCAAGAATCCCAGAATAGTATGGAGCAAACAGTGGGAGGAGGAGAGGAAAAGACAGTAATTTTGTATGGAACATGGACCAGCCCTTATGCCAAGAGAGTTGAATTGGGTCTCAGAATCAAAGGCATTCCTTTTGAGTATGTGGAAGAAGATTTGAGCAATAAGAGCCCCTTTCTCCTTGACAACAATCCTGTTTACAAGAAGGTTCCGGTGCTCGTGCATAATGGAAAGTGTCTATCAGAGTCACTCATCATTCTTGAATATATAGATGAAGTGTGGAGCCAGGAGCCTCACTTTTTGCCAGCAGATCCTTATGAAAGATCCAAAATCAAGTTCTGGGCAGGTTACATCCAGCAGGTAAAGATTAAATTACTCTTTTATGTTTCAATCCATTTTACATCTGATATTGTGCTTGTTTGCGTTAATGCTAACCGGTTTAAGTCCAGGTTTATGAATCCGTATTGAAGGTCCTGACATCTGGAGCTCGGGATCAAGAAAACGCCTGCCAAGAGCTTTATGATAAACTGAGAGTGCTGGAAGATGGAATCGGGGAAGTTTTGGCAGTGGGAAGGACTAATCCCCAATGCAGCAATCTAGGAATCCTCGATATTATGATCGTGCCAACACTTGGGGCATACAAGGTACAAGAAGAAGTGTTTGGTGTGAAGATTCTTGATCCCGACAGAAATCCCATGATACACTCATGGGTGAACAGCCTGATTGAGCTGCGTGTGATCAAAGAGGCGGCTGCTCCTCGCAAAAAGGTGGTTCCTTTTCTTCAAGGATTTAAGCAACGACTCGCTCTCAAACAGCCGAGCAAGAGGGATGAAACAGATCTCTAACCTTGGTATATCCTTTTCCTGCTACTGTCTTTCAAACAACTTGTTTTCTTAGTTCTGTGAGTTAATTTCTGCTTGTAATAAGGCTGAATTGTCTGTAATCTGGTCCTATGTGAGGAAAATAATAATGCTAATGCCAAACATTGATTGTGGAAAATAATGTTTTTGGAGATGCTGGAATTAAGATTCCTATTGATGGAAGACAGTAAAAGACAAAAAGTCTTGTAATGTTTCATGAAACTGATGGCTAGAACTTGACAAACTATCATGTATTGTATAGGTAAACTCCTCTCTAATCTTTTTGGCTTTTCTAAACAATTAAGAATTCAAGAAACTTCAAGAATCTCTTTGGAGGTCCTGGCAGCTAGCATAAATCATGAAATTCATTTAAAATAAATTTCCTGATAAACTAGTTGCAGTTTGATGCAGTCCATGCTTTTCAATGGGGGAGTTCCAAAAATCTGAGTCAAAATCTGGGGTTTATGGGCATTGAAGTTTGAGCACCAAGAAACTATTGAATTATGTGCAGTGACATCAGTGCACTGGTCAACCACTCAACCAAGCAGTTAGAACATCAAGAAACAAAATATACAATACCAGGTTGTCTGCAATATTACTATAATCAACAGTCAAACATTATCCAAGGACTATAATGGCTGTCTGGCACTTTGGTGTTCACAAGGCTCGATCCTGTGCCCTTGCCCATAATCTGTCACCCAGGAACCGACTGAGCTACCTGTGCGGGTTTTCTACTTTCCTGCAACAACTATATCCACTCCTCCTCTCTACAACTATTCAGCAATCTTGAGAGCCAAGAAACAGGGTGCAGATAAGGTCAATGATATTATTGCTGACACCAGACAGATTTTAAAAGTAGGAAACTTTGAAAAAAGAATCAGATATCAGTTTCCCATATATTTTATTTGAAGCCAATTGTTGACTACTGACTAGATATTGGCTCAATGTGAATCAGTGAATTAAATACTTGAAGAGTACAGAAGAAGGAAAAAAAAAAAAAAAACACATTGCCTCATCAGAAAAGCTCAAAGGTCAAGGAACATCAAGATTTCTGTATTTAATACCCCCCCCCCCCCCCCCCCCCCCCCCAGCAGCATAAAACCATGCCCATCACAGAGCAATATCAGAAACAAGAGAGAGAGAGAGAGCAGAAACAATGGGGGATGAGAGCAAAGTAATCCTGCATGGGATGTGGGCAAGCCCATATATGAAGAGAGTGGAAATTGCTCTTAAACTCAAAGCCATACCTTTTGAGTATGTTGAAGAAGATCTGAGCAACAAGAGCCCCTTGCTCCTGAAATACAATCCTGTTTACAAGAAAGTCCCGGTGCTCGTCCACAATGGAAAACCAGTCTCAGAATCACTCCTCATTGTTGAATACATTGATGAAGTATGGAACGATGGTCCTCGGATACTGCCAGAGGAGCCCTACGAAAGAGCCAGGGTTAGATTCTGGGCTGATTACATCCAAAAGGCAAGTAATGAACTAAACCTTATGCTCATCTTCCATTTGGACCATCTCTTATGCTAATGAACTGTTCTTTTGCACTAATGCTGCAGGTTTTCTACAGCATGTCCAAGATCTTTAACAATGAAGGGGAAGAGTTAACGAAAGCCTGTGATGAGTTTTACGAGAAACTGAAAGTGCTGGAAGATGGAATCAAGGATTTATTTCCAGGTGGTGATCCAAGGGCTCAAGGCAGGAACTTGGGACTTCTGGATGTTGTGATAGTTCCCACTCTTGGAGCCTACAAGGCACAAGAACAAGTCCTGGGTGTGAAGATTCTTGACCCAGAGAGGAATCCATTGATGTACTCATGGGTGAATAGTTTGCTTGAGCTGCCTCTCGTCCAAGAAATCGCTCCGCCCCATGAAAAGGTGGTTGCACTTCTTCAAATGCTCAAAGAAAATGGTGTCAAGTTTGAAGCCAATTGAGAGCATATGCTACTGAAACAGTCACTCTTTGTGATTGGAGTTGGCTGCTATCCATCGGTTTGCTTGTAATAAGGCCATGAATTCCATTTCAATACAAATTTGTCACAAATTTCTGTCATGTAGCCTACATTTTGAGATTAAGTTTGGCATTAGTTTGATTATGCATTGCTTAATTTAGCTATTACCCATCTTGGTGGGGGAAGCACTTCTTTGAAGAGACTGGATATTGCACTTATATATTTAATAAAAATGCATCCTTTTTTCCACCAAAATAAAGAAAACATGACAAAGTTTTGGGGATATCAAAATCAATATGATGTATAATTGTGGGATCAAATTAACAAAAGCGACACAGCATCAAACCATTTAACTTAGAATGACAGGTTCTATATAGTTCTTCCTAACAGAAAAGCAAATTGGAAAGTATTGCAACAACCACTTGGCTGTGCACAATTTGTAACAATCTCAATTCCTAAATTTTTCTGAAACACGTAATCTGAATTCTAAGGATCGCAATTTCAGTTCTTGCCAGCTTGCTTTTCTTTTGCTTTTTGGATCTTCAAAACTTTCTTCACAATCTTCTGCTCTTCTACCAAGAAAGCTCGAATAATCCTGAAACCAACACCAAAATTTAGCAACTACTACAATGACAACATTGGATATCTCATATCTGGTCTAATTTAGATGTACAAACCTCTCTCTCACAGCCCCACCAGACAATACACCACCATAGGGTCGGTTAACAGTTCTCCTATTCCTAGGTAATCTGGACCTCTTGTACTCAGCAGGTCTCAAGTGCGGGATCTGCAGAATAGAACATACTATACAATTAGCTTGATTGACAACCACTCCACAACTCAATGATTGCATAATAAACTCCCAAAATATGTGTAATTAAATGCTCCGCGAATCATTACAACTGATTGCCCTAATCAACTGGATCCCCAAATGCCACATTTCTAAGACAAAAGCACTTGGAAACTTCAGAACAATCCTTCCAAGTTGAAGTTATAACTCTGTGACACTTAGAGCTATTAGTATAGTTACTTGTGGCATATCAAATTCCCAAATCCCAAGTAAGACAATGGCTTAAAGAGCAGTTGCTATAAAATGAGTGTTGATGAACCTTTATTCAAACATAATGAATATGCAGTTCAAACTTGAGGAACATTATAGTCATGTATAAAAATACCAGAATAAAAATAAAGCTCCATTTGATTCACACAACAAGAAGACAACAATAATTGAATTCAACAACACAAAAATTACCCCTTGAATCCTCTTCCCAGTAACAGGACACTTTGGTCCACTAGCCCTCTTCTTCGTGGTCTGATACACCAGCTTCCCACCTGCAAATTCAAATAAACTCCATAAAGAACAGATCTTTATAACAAATCAGAAGAACCCGATAAAGATAAAAGGAAATATGAAGTCACAGATCCAACATATTTATGTATTTACGCGTGTACAGGTGTATATAAAGGGAATACCAGGGGTTTTCACGACGCGGTGCTGGTTGGACTTGGTGGCATAGCTATGGCGTTTCCGGTAAGTGAGACGCTGCACCATCTTCGGAACTCCTTCCGGCCTCCGCAATACAGATAGAAGCTGAAGAGAGGAGGCTAGGAAGCAGGTTAACTGTAAAGTGTAAAGGAAAGAGATTAAACCCTAGGGCTAGGGAGTTTGAGCTTTGAAAACGCCCAACCCGTTTCAGTCTTTCAGAGTTGGGTTTCGGGTATCAAATCCTCTACTTGGGCTTGGGCCGTAATGCTTTAAGGCCCGTGCTAAATGGTCTTATTCATTTTAAACATAATTATTAAACACGTTCGATGAATTATAAATATCATGCTCTCTCTCTTGGCAAATTATTGTATGGACCATGGTCCACACAATGTTATGTGCACCATACTAAAAAGTACATTTTTATTATATTAAATGTGTATTATTTTTGTAGTGAATGTACATTATATAATATAATGTACACTCAGAACAAAAATAATGTACATTATTTTTGTATTGAATGTACATTATTTTTATATTAAATGTACATTATTTACAGTAGATAAAATATGGTCCACACAATAATGGTTGCTCTCTCTTGGTTTAGGAAAAAGGTTCAAATTAGTCACTAAATTATACGCAAATATACAATTAAATCATTCAATTTAAAAAATATGCAATTAGGTCCTTCAGTTGTCTAAAATTATGTAATTCGATCAAATTTGACATGTTCCTCAGGTCATCGTTGACGTGTCAGTCATTATATTAAAAAAATTATTATTTTAAATTTATTTTAATAATTCTTAAAAAAAAAAAAAAAAAAAAAAACTCACCCGCTCAGGTCGGAGACGAAGTCGAGAGGGGATTTCCTTTTTTTTTTTTTTTTTTTTAATTATTGTATTTAAAATTATTAAAATAAATAGGATGACTGACATGTCAGCGATGACGTGAGGAATATATCAAATTTGGTCGAATTGCATAATTTTAGACAATTGAAGGGATTAAATTACACTTTTTTTTTTTAATTAGATAGCCTAATTGTACTTTTGCGTGTAATTCGATGGTTAATTTGATTTTTTTTCCCTTATTTTTATTAACATGCACCGTATTAACATACATTTATGATTTACCTTATCAGTTTTTATCTATATGATTGTTTCACAATCTACTGATTGAGAAGGTCATTGAATGATACATAATCTTAATCCAATGGATAATGACTGCACGACAAAAGAACATCTTAACTATGTTGAACAAGAAACCTACGATGTTTCAGCAAACTCATTATTAAAACCCAATCAAAGGAGGAAGGATTGCTAAAACATCTCTAGACCAAGCACATGAATAACACATTAGTAAAAAAGTTAGCAAAGATTAAAATTAACTAGAAAAAGGGGACCAAGACTATGTGGTCTAATGGTACCCGAGTTGGATTTCCATTTGAAAGATTGTGAGTTCAAGCCTCAGTGAAGGCGTTATTGGCTCTTTGTGTGTAGCAGAACAATCCTATTATGTTATCAATTTATATTATGCCGAACTCTGAACACAACAAATCCTTAATCAATCAATGAGAAGCTAGATCAAAAGTGGGATTAGATTCCTCAACAAGCTGCACACATTGTGGCTTTAATTTGCAACTCAAAAAAATCTCCCTAAAGGTAATAAGATTACATACTCCTCTTTTCTCGGTGGGTTTAGGTTAATGATCCTAAATAATTAATGAAGTGGGTGTAGTCAAGGATGTTTGCCAGCTACATGTGATATCCTACGAGGAAACCTAACCCCACTACTTGTGTTGGGAGTATTAATTATAGTACAACTTGATCAAAGCTATAATTATATTACCATGCATGCATTTTCTTAATATTAAAATATCATATTTTATGTCAGGATTAAACACCTACCACTAAACTAAAAACTATATAACTGTATTAAAAAAAAAAAACAACAAAAAAACAAAATTATACGACTAGTCATAAATGGTCAATTTTATTTCATTATACTTACATAGCGATTATTAGTATCTGTTAGATCTAAATAATCTGAGGATATTGAAGAATAGTATACGAGAAACCTGATCTCATATAAGCGGAAGCCGAAGCAGCATTTATCTCCCGCCACAATTGGTGTTCCTGTTGTGTTGCTAACCGTTAGCCATATTTTGCCTCATACTAGACTCAGAACCACAGATGATGTATAGGTGTATGTTGAGCAATATAAGTGCCGTAACTGAATGTGCTATATAATGAATATCTTGTATTACATCAATCCAGTTTTATATATATTAGTTACAGAGTCTGGTTGAATAACAACCCCAGGGAAAATCTTATAGCATCATGTTTTGATGATATATAGAATGCTGAACTTCATAGTCTATATACAATTATATATATATATATATATATATATATATATATATATATATATATATATATATATATATATATGTATGTATGTATGTATGTATGTATATTAATGCATGCAGATACACATGTACATATGTGTCCAAAACAAAGAAGAAAAGCAAACCAAATAATTGTGAGTCGACGCATATTGCCATATTGTATATCGATCAATTAGAGCAGGTAGGGTGTGATGTATTTCACATGCAAGAATACGTAATTACATATTATAATAATAGTATTGATGATCGACCACAACAAATTAAATAACATGCATTTGGCTATATTATATATATGTATATATACCAAATAATGAAATCTTGAATATATATAGTGACCTAATAATTATGATTGAGGTGTAATCATTATTAAGAAAAAGAAATAACATTCATGCAATCTAGCTAGTGATCTGTTACGCTTTGTGCCATCTTAATTACATTTGTGATTGAGTTGGTCTTGAAGCAGTTCATAAGATTTGAGTCAAATCATTTTGTTACTAACTAACTTTTATGAAATAACGAGTTAGAATTTCTGTCAATGAATTGGTTTACCTTAAAGAATATTTCTTTGAGGTTTGACTGTTTGAGTTCGTGTTATGTAATAATATAATGCTAGTTTAACAATTGTTTGATAATGTTAAAGAGATCTTTGGTCTAGCAATTAATCAAATCTAATGAAACCCTTCACATTATATTTTAATATCTATATATTAAAGAAACCTGATTAGAAAGCCTAACAACAACACTACATATTATATTATGTATGATGTATGATAAGAAATTTGAATATGAAAATTCTATGTTAATATATAGACTCTTATTCATTCGAGTGTTGACTTTTGCTAGATTATATATTATTTAGATCATACAATTATCACTTTCTCCATGAATAGTGCTACATTTTACTCCTGATGATTTAATCTTTTTACGGGATAATATTTGATTAGTTCATTTAATATTAATTAATAAATTGGTAGAGAATATCTACTATTGAACTTCCATATATACAATCTATGATGCATGCATGAAACCTTGATCCAGGCACAGCTCAATTGGTATAAGGTTAATTAATCCAAAATAACTTTTGCTTTGCAGTTTGGTAAAATAGTTAGCTTATCAGTTAATTTTAGTTTATTTGACCACTATTAATTACTTGACTTGGTTAAAAAATCATATAAGTGTCTGATTAATTAGCTTTTAATGACTCTAAAATGCTAAAATTTAAAAAGCTATTCAAAGCAATTTTTTCAATTAACTTTT